TTACTTTGCCTTTATAAGCTAGATTACATCCTTTGGAACTAGGTAAAACAGTCAGAGGTTCAGCCCCAGTTGATATGTGAGTTAAGCAATTATATGAGACCTGCTTTCTCCCATTCACAAGCCCATTTCTTAATTATGTCCGTGAGGATGAGGGTCAGTAATTGGTTTGCTCTGGGCTACGACTCTGTTTCTAGGAAGGAGGAGAATGTGGGCAGGTATGCCACTATGACAGTGTAGTTCACTACTTCATAGTTGGTTTGCCTTCAGATAGATTTACACTATAAGACATCTGAAAAATATATAGATAGGTGGCAAGATGGTTTGGTAAGTAAAGTACTTGCCACACAGCACTGAGCACCTGAGTTTGAACCCCAGGATCCTTGTAAAGGTTGAAAGAGAAAACTAATTGCACCAAGTTATCCTGTGACCTACACATGTGTGCACTCCTACACATACATCATATATACACACATGATAACAAGATATGCAGGGGTATATGAAAAAAGTTGCCTAATGTTGTTCTCATGAGTTCCTTCTGCATATCTTCTTACAAACAGTTACAACTATGTTATACTGATAATTTTCTCACTATTTATAACTCAGGTTGGATTTAAACTGCTGATTCTTCTGCCTCTGTCTCCTAAACACTGGAATTACAAATGTACAAATTTGACTTTTTTTGTTGTTGTTGTTAAGCAACAAACTATAGAAATGATCCCTGTTACTCATAGTTTTTCCTTTTGAATTTCTAATTTATCAGTTTACCTATTAGCATCTTTTTAGTCTGGACTCCTTAGGAGTTATTTTTTAAAAAAGTTTCATTTAAATTTTTCATTTATTGCACTTCATTTACTTTGTGTGCGTGCGTGCGTGCGTGCGCGTCGTGGTGCTTCTGTGGAGGTCAGAGGACACTTTTCTTCTTCCACCATGTGGGTCCTGAGGAGTGAACTCAGGCTGGTGTCAGCTTTTATCCACTAGGCTACCTCAGTGGCCCCATACAAGCATTCATTTTTATAGCATCTGGTTTTTGATAGATTGTGTTTTCTCTCCTTTCTCCCTCGCCCTCTCCCCCATGTGTGTTCCTGCAAGTGTGTGTATACGAAGGCAAGAGTGTTTTGAAGGTCAAAGGATAACTCCAGGTGTTGTAACCTGACTTCTGTTGTTTGCTGTTGTGTGCACAGGTTATCTATCCTATAAGCTTCTTGGGATTTTCCTGTCTTTGTATTCTATCTTACTGTAGTAGCACTGGGATTACAGACGCCAGTTCTGGGAACAAACTCAGGTCCTCACGTGAGGCAAGTCATGTTGTCCACTGAGTTGTTTCCCCAGGAGTGTGTGTGTGTATGCAGGTACCTGCTATGGAGACCTGAAAAGTCGGATTCTCTGGAGCTGGAGTTATAGGTGGTTGTGAGGTACCAGGTGTGGGTGCTGGAAATCGAATTCAGATTCTCTGTAAGAGCAGTACATAACTCTAAACCCTGAGCTATATCCCTCTAGCCCCTTATTTTTGAGACAGGATCTCACCATGTAGACAAGAATGGCCTTGAACTCACAGAGCTCCACCTGCCCCTGCCTCCTGAGTTCTAGGATTTAAAGGTGCTACCACCACACCTAACACCTTTTCATTTTTTAATTAATTTGTGGGGAGAAGGCTTGTATTGTGATTTGTATAGAGGCTAGAGGGCAACTAATAGGAGTCAGTTCTCTCTCAGCCATGTGAGGTCTGAGGATTGAACTCAGGTCATCTGTTTGTCTGCAAGTCCCTTACCAGCTGAGCCATTTTACTGGCACCTGTTTTCATATTTTTAAGCCTAGAAGTTCCTGGCTTTCAGAGAACTTATAGCTCGTTTTGTTACACTGTTTTGACTGTAGCTATTTGATCTTTGTAAAATTTATTTTGAAGAAGCAGACATTTATTCTTTATATTGCTAGTACTTTGGGGTTTTATATGGACTCTAAAGTTATTAAAAGTATAGTTTTTCAGGGCTGGAGTGATGGCTCAGGGCTTCAGAGCACTGTCTTCCAGAGCCACTGGTGTTTGAGTCCCAGCTGTAAATTCTAGTTTCAGGTGATCTGCTGACCTCTTTTGGCCTCTGCAGGCACTGCACACAGGTGACACAGACATACATGCAAAAGACCCGTATACAAATAAGAGGGAAAGGGGCTGGAGAGATGGCTCAGCAATTTATTGCATTTTGACACTCTTACAGGAGACTAGGGTTTGATTTCTAGCATCTATATGGTGCCTCAGAACCATCCATAAGTCCAGTTTTAAGGACTCCCAACATTCTCTTCTGGCCTCTGAGGGCACCATGTGCGAATATGGTACACAAACACACACACACACACACACACACACACACAGAGACACACCAGACAGACAGACAGACAGACAGACAGACAGACAGACACACACACACACACACACACACACACACACACACAGAAAAACATTCATACATTTAAATCTAAAACAATATATTTTTTTTTAAATGGAAAAGTTAAAAAAATAGTTACTGGAAGAAAAATGCCATTTTAAAGCTGCTTTTTAGTTGTTTCTGTAAGCTAATGACTCGATTTATTGTGAGGTTTAAAGACAATGTCAAGTAACAAAGAGTCTTTAATGACAAAATATCTTAGTAATGAAAAATATCTTACCTGACAGATCGAAACTTTATCATAAGAGTTAAAAATGTACACAATACTTGTGATTAGTCTTCTGTTAATATAATCAAAGCATGTGTAATTTTCTTCTGGAAATAGCATTTACTCATTAAGAAAATTATGGCAGAAATCATTAAACACTGAGAAAATTCTAGACTCTTCAGACAGCCTGATGTTTTGAAAACGCCTTGTGTGTTGGCAGGAGCCCAAGAGAGGAAGTGCCTGCATCTGCTACATTCTAGAAGCTTTCCCCAGATCACTGTAAGGCAGCCAAGAAAACTGTATTTCACCACTGTGTGGTTCTGGAAGTATCTGGAAATTTGTAGCAAATTTAAGGGAGGAGATATAGGAGTTCTTCCAGAATGCCATTTTATGGGGATGATATATTTTTATTGAGATTCAACTTAAGGGTGAAGTTACTTTTCAGCTTTTATGAAATAGGGGCTTTGTTAGGCCTCTGAAAAGCCTGTTGGTTTAGGCAAATTCACATGGGAAAGATCAGAGAAATGCCTACAAGAACAGGTTGCCAAGTCAGCCTAAGTGATGGGAACCTGCTTCTGAAGCAAGTAGTGATGTAATGTACTGGGCTGTAAAGCAATGAGAAAGCCCATGTTTTTGGTAGGGGAGGAGGAAGAGTGCTAGGGCAGTTGGTGAAGCAAGGCAGAACCGTTCAGTGGTTACTTAATACCCTCTTTATCATGAGTAGTCCTCACTAGAGAAGATTATTTGCTCTCAGGGACAGTGAAAAAAGACAGAAGGCAGTGGTGGTGAGAGACTCTGTTTAAAGACTGTGAAGACCAGAGTTCAGATCCCAGAATGCAGGTAGTATGTCAAGTGGGTGTGACAGTCTGCCTGTGATTTCAACCTTAGATGGCAAAGACCTGATCCCTAGAGCAAGCTGGCTACAGGGACTAGCCTCATGAGTGAGCTTTGGGTTTGGTTGAAAGAGCCTGCCTCAATGAATAATGTAGAGGGTGATTAGAGAGATGTCAGGTGTCAACTTCAGGCTACACATGCACACAGGTGCATCACATACAAAAGAAGAAAAGCAAGGGCTTTGTTACAAGGTTGAAATTAGAGGAAAGTCACAGCTAGCTGTGTGCTAGGCTTGGGTGTTTTTGTTTTTTTTAAACATAGAACACGGTAGTAGTAAGAGAAGTTAGCCCTTCCTAACAATAGAAACAAAACAAATAATAACAGCAAAACTACCTTTCTCCAAAGCTAACCCTCAAAACTGTGTCTTTAAGAAAAATTACTAACTTAAATGTATAGGGCTGTTAATTCTTCTGGTATTCTCCACAACTTAAAATAATAGCATTGTGGTTGAGGGGGAAAGCTCAGTTGATGCAGTACTTATTATGCTTTGGGTTCCATCTCCAGCACCACATAAACAGGGCATGGTGGTACATGCCCAGTTATTGGGATCAGAAGTTCTAGATCATTCTTGGCTACATAGTAAGTTCAAGGCCAGCCTGGATACATGAGACTCTGTCTCAGACAAACAAAAAATAACATAGCTTCATCTGTTTTAAATTAATATACCATACAATTCTCTTTCATCATTCATGACTCAGCACTTTCAGAGTTATGAAATAGTCACCTCCATTTTAGAACATTTTTATCACCTCCAAATCCACAACTTTGAATTTAAAGTTTAGAACCATACTTGGGAGCCTGGCAGTGGTGGTGCACACCTTTAATTCCAGCATTCAGGTGGCAGAGACAGACAGATCTCTGAGTTCGAGGACAGCTTGGTCTATGCAGTAATATATTGGTGATATTTAAAGTATGTTTTTGTGGGAAATTCATGTTTTAGATCTAGATCAAAGGGAAAACTATTTTTCATGCCATTTAAAAAGCCACAGCTGGGACTGGAGAGATGGCTCAGCTGTTAAGAACATTTTCTGCTCTTCCAGAGGACCCAGGTTCTATTCCCAGCACCCATATCTGGTGGCTCACAACAGCATGTAACTTCAGCTCTTGGGAATCTGATGTCTCTGGCCTGCAAGGACACCCATACTTGTATGCATAACTATACAGTGTACACATACAATTAAGGATAATAAAAATAAATCTTTAAAAAATACCACAACTAGGGCTGGAGAGATGGCTAAGCTGTTAAAGGCTAGGCTCACAACCAAAAATAAAAAAAAAAAACAAAACCACAACTGTTTAGTTGCTCTACTTGAAATAGTAACAGGAAAACAAGTGGGTTGAAGTTTTTCTCTAATGGGGACATCTAACTGTTAAAATCACAAATTAGCTGTTATTAAATTGATTTATAAAAATCAGCATCAGTTCTAGCCTGGAGACTAACTGCCATGTTGTTCTTGTAGGTGTGTGAACCTGAGAAGTCTTCCAAGATGATCTGGTGTGTTTTAATGATAGGGATTCTACTTCCTCAGTCTTCAGCCCATCCAGGCTTTTTTACTTCAATTGGTAAGTCTTTGCCATTTATAACTTACTGTGCTTTACATTTTAAAATTTAAATGCTTTTGTAGTTTTTTGATTTTTCAAGACAGGTTTTCTCTGTGTAGCTTTGGAGCCCATCCTGGTACTCGCTTTGGAGACCAGGCTGGCCTCAAACTCACAGAAATCCTCCTGCTTCTGCCTCCCAAGTGCTGGGATTAAAGGTGTGCGCCACCAACGCCCGGCACTTTTGTGGTTTTAAATTAGTAAAACTAATGCACTATATTCCTGAAGACTAACCTTGGTTTACCCTTTGCCTGTCTAAACAGGCAGTTAAAAAAAAAAAAAGATTCAGTTATGTTTGTCTGCTTTTCTTCCTTCTTAAAAAAATAGTTTATTGAGTACACTGTAAGAGTCCAGTGCCTGGGCAGCAACTATAGTACTATCTGACTTTGTTTCCTTTAAATTAATTTTTCCTGATTGCAAAAGTGGTGTTTTATGCTTAGAAACATAGGAAAATTTAGAAAAAAACATACCAAAGAGTTATTGTTAGTTGGGTGTGGCAGTGCATGACTTTAATACCAGGATTGGAGGCAGAGGCAGGTGGATATCTATGAGTTTGAAGCTGAGCCTGGTCTGCATACTGAGATCCAGACCAGCCATGGCTACATAGTGAAACCCTATTTTAAAAACAAAACAAAAAAGAAAGTGATAATCTCCACACATAATTAATGCAGATACAATTTTAATGCAGATACACAGTAATTCTGCACATTTATTTCTCTCGCTGTCTCCCTTACTTTCTCTCTCCTTTCTTTCTGGATGTTTGAGACAGGGTTTCTATGTGCAGTCTTGGAAGTCCTGGAACTCACTATGTATGTCAAGCTGGCCTTGCACTCACAGAGATCTGCTTGCTTCTGCCTTCTGAGTGCTGGGACTAAAGGTGTATGCTACCACCCCTGGCCTGTACATTACTTTCTAACCTGCTTTTACTTCACTGTAAACATGTTATTTTTTCCACATCATAATTTTAAAAAATATTATAAAAATTGTGCTAAAGGTGGGCAGTGGTGGCCACTCCTTTAATCCCAGCATTCACGAAGGAGGCAGAAGCAGGTGATTCTCTGTGAGTTCAAAGCTAGCCTGGTCTACACAGACTGAGTTCCAGGACAGCCAGAGCTATGTGGTTTAAATATGTGGTTTAAAACAGGGTTTGTGTGTGTGGTGGAATTCTAAAGAGCCAAGTGCATAGACTGTAAGATCTCCCATGCTCCCTTGGCCTTAAAGTTTGAGCTATGGCTTTCTATAATTTCCTCTCTATATACTTCATATATATAATGAAGTGTTGAGATGTTTCCCTTTTTTCTATTAACCATTTGAACCTTTTAAAATTGTAGAACTAACACAGAAGTATAAATATTTCTAACATGTGATTTCCATATATAAAATAATGAGTCCTCTTACTCTTTAAAAATAAAAAATTTAAAACATTTTTGCAACTTTTTTAAGTGTTTTGATCAAAAATTTGATCCCGACTAATTTTGAATACAAAAGGTAAGGTATAAGAGAGAGGAGGCAGTAAAGAGCAAATGGCAATTCTTGGAAAGTGGTGTTATTTGTAAATGAAAATACCATTTTCCAACATAGTCTAAGCTTACAAAATTATTAGTTATAGAAACTAGAACTGGATCTCATGATTAGCATTTTATTTGGATTAATTTTGGTTTATCTGGTGAGAAAAAAGGGGAAAATGATCCTTTACAACATATCTGTTCTATTCCAGTTAAATCCTTCTGTAGCTAAAAGATTCGTATTGATGGATATTTAATACCTTTCTCTTCTCGTTTAGGCCAGATGACTGATTTGATCCATACTGAGAAAGATCTGGTGACATCACTCAAAGATTATATTAAAGCAGAAGAGGACAAGTTAGAACAAATAAAACAGTAAGTGTGTTTTTCTACTATAGCTCTAGTTCTCCTCTTCACTAAATTATCAAGTGGAAATGAAAGCCAGTTAAAATGTCTAATGCAATGAGGAAGCATAGGGTCACTGTTCATGTGTGTCAGCTATGTTTACATGTTTATGTTTGCAGGTGCAAGTGCACCTGTGTGTAGAGGCCAAGGGTTAACAGTAGATGCCTTCTTCTATTGCTGTCTTCTTATTTTTTGAGATGATCTTTTAACCTGGCAAGGCTAGTTAGCCAGTAAGTTTCAGGGATCTTCTGATTTTCACCTCCCCAGCACTAGAATTACAGGCACGTACCACTGTTGGCAGTAGCGAGCAGAGACAGAGTGTGGAGGGGATAGCAGGCTTCCTCCTTCCCTAGCCTATGTAGGTGCTGTCTGCATTCAGTTAATCATCTCTGGAAACACCTGACAGGTACACCCAAAACTATTATTTAAAGAGGTACTTCTCCATCTAATGATGCTGACAGTCAAGATTAACCATCACAGTGTAGAAGAAAAGTCATGCCAGTATCTTTCATAATCTCCCAAATAAGCCCCCTGCTGGAGTAGTTTTCCAGTTCTACTCATGGGAGTCCATTGTACAGCTTACAGTGATAAGCATGATTAATGCTGTCTAATATAAAAACCATGTGGTTTTTCTTGAGTGTTAATTTTATTGACTTAGGTTTATAGTTAATCCTAAATTGAGAATTTGTGCTTTGTTTAATGAATGTTTAGTATTGATGTTTTTGATTTTTGTGTGTGTTTTCAGAGTCTTACTATATAGCACTGGCTGGCCTGAAACTCACTGAGATTGACCCTCTTCTGCCTGCTGAGTAGTGCTGGGATTAAAGTTGTGCACCTGCTAGATGTTTCTGCTTTAAAACTTATTTTCTACATAGAGTTTAAACATTTGCTATAAATTAGCCAAACATGGTTGCACACATTTAATTCTAGCACTTGGGAGGTAGAGGCAGGAGGATCACAATGAAGGCCAATCTAGACTGCATAATACAGGAAGACCTTATCTCAAAAAGCAAAACAAAGCAATAATAATAATAATAATAATAATAATAATAATAATAATAATTGAGGCTAGGCTCAGTGGCATGCATCAATACACTCCAGGAGATGAAGCAGGGAAATCTCTTGAGTCCAGAAATTCAAGGATAGCTTGAGTAGCAGCATAGTGAGATGCAGTATTTTTTAAGAAAAAATGTGTACCGGACTAGAAAGATGGCTCAGGAGTTAAGGGAACAGGCTACTCTCTCAGAGGATCCAGGTTCAATTCCCAGCATCTACATGGTGGCTTACAACTGTCTGTAACTCCAGTTCCAGATCTGATATCCTCTTCTGGCCTCCTCAGGCACCAGGCATGCACATGGTAAACATACCTTCAGGCAGGCAAAACACTCATACACAACCAAGAAACAAGAGGAAATACAAATTTGGTTTTAGAGTCTAAGTTGTTTTACCTTCATACGTAACAGAATTTAGGCAGGCCAGTTCATTTTTATTATAATAATAATTTTAGCCTTTTAGGACTTACAGGGAAATGAAAATTTTGAGTGATTAAATTTTAGCTTTGACTAAGATGATACTCCATTTGGGAAAATAATATAAAACAGAAAAGTTGTATAGTTGTAGTTTTGATTCTGTTAAGTTAGATTTTTATCTATAAGATCTTGTGTTTTAGAGAGTCTTTATAATTTTACTTTAAAAAGGAGTTGTAGGCAGTAGCTTTAAATGAAAAGCTTAAGTTCTTTACTTGACTGTGATTTTCCTTGGCACACTCTTTTTGAGGAGGTGGAGAGGGACCTTCTGTGTAGACCTGACTATCCTTGAGTTCACAGAGGTCCACTTGCCTCTGCTTCCTGAGAGCTGGGATTAAAGGCATGGGCCACATTTGGGTGGGTAGGGAAGTGGAGGGGAGTTAGAGGAGGGGAAACTATAATCTGAATATATTGTATGAAAAAAAGTCTATTTTCAGAAAAGAAAAAGCATGTGCCACCATGCCTGGCTTAGTACACTACTTTTATGTCTTACGTCTATAGATGGGCAGAGAAGTTAGACCGACTGACCAATACAGCAACCAAAGATCCAGAAGGGTTTGTTGGGCATCCTGTAAATGCATTCAAGTTAATGAAACGTCTGAACACTGAATGGAGCGAGCTGGAGAATCTGGTCCTCAAGGATATGTCAGATGGTAAGTTTAAAGAGACTTCAGGACCAAACTAATGCAGTGCCTAGTATAGCAGGTGCTTGTGTTGTAATTGAATTATTGCAAGTATGTTTGGTTTGGCCACAGATATTGAAATCTGGAACATTTGATTTAAAAAAATAGTAACTTTTAATACTTGTGACAAGCGTGGGTGATTTTACCTTTTGATCTACAGAAATGATTAAATTATTTGGAATATAACTTCACTTCTAAGAGTAAAAACATTGGTAGTTGTATTACAAAGAGGAGTGTTAGCTGTGATTTAACCAGTAGTTTGTGTTTAGGTTATTTTACTTTACGTAGGCAATAAATTTTCAAAACTGAAAGTATAGATATTAATACTCAAAAGTCTTTGTACATGAAATAATAAAATTGTAGCTGGAGTATTGGTGTTCTAGATAACAACAAAAAAACCAAGCCTGAAATTTAAAGAGGTAAAGGGATTTTGTAGTGTACTGTAGAAGCTCAACTATTTTTTAAATGCATGACTGATAAAAAAAAGAAAGAAAGAAAAAAGATTCAAGCTGAACTGTCTATGTAGATAAAATACTCTCTAGACTGCTTATCAGTGTTAGTGAGCAGTAAAGAAACCTTACAGTCTCTTTATCCATGGTAGTTACAGTTGGCCACCCTTCCAAAGTGTGGAAAACTTCAAAACTAAACAAGAACCCGCAAGTTTTGTGGCTTTCTGACTGTGAGATGAACTCTTCTGTTCACTGGGATGTGAGGCTACCTTCCTTGCAGCATATCCCTGCCTTTAGTCCTTCGGAGCCCTCTGTTCTCAGAGCATTGTTGTGGTCTCACATTTCATAGTGTTACGTAGCCTTGGAGCACATGATCCACAAGTGCAAGCATAATGATGCTGCAATTTGGATGTGTCAGAGAAAAGCAATAGTATGTTCCTGTAAGTGATAGTTCTTGACTTAGAAATGAAGGAAAAAACATAGCGCTAGGATCCTTGGTAAGAATAAGTTTTTTTGGTTTTTCGAGACAGGGTTTCTCTGTGGCTTTGGTGGCTGTCCTGGAACTAGCTCTTGTAGACCAGGCTGGTCTCGAACTCATAGAGATCCGCTTGCCTCTGCCTCCCGAGTGCTGGGATTAAAGGTCTTATATTCATTAAATTATGAACAAGGAAAAAAATTCTTCATAGTATTGCTGTTACACCACAGATTACAAAAGCTATGCTCATGATGCATGATGAGCATCTCTGTTAGCTAGAAAAGATACTAAACTTGTGTATATGCATGTAAAAGAAAAAGCAGTCTATAAAGTTTTCAACTACTAAAAGTTTTGCAGTGAGTCTCCTGTGGGTAAGTAAGGAACACTATTACCTATAAGACCATGAAAAATAATGGCAAATGCTGGTGGATACTTTTTTACCATGAGCAGATTTTCCCACTCTATTGACAGCTGAGACCATTTATAAGGAAATATTCCTTTTGTCTCTACACACACACCAAACAAAAGACCAAGAAAACCTATATATGTATGGGGGGAGGGGGAGGGAAGGAGAACCTGTCTAAAATGCACAAATCCCTGGGTCCTATCCTCAGGACCCTTTCCTTGACAGACACAAACACTGCAGGATTTATATAAAATATATTAAAATCAAACTAACAAATTACTTGATAACTATATAGTTTCTAAGGAGAATGGATTATAAGCACTCTTTTAAAAAAAACAAAATCAAAATGTGATTTAAAACTTTAATAACACAAAGTCACTACTGTAAATAGTTATGTTTTACATATAATATAAAACAATTATAGCAATAGAATATTATATTACATATAATATGTTATATATAGTATAACATATCTATAATCACATATACATTTTCTCTTTTTCTTTGGCAAAACTTAAGCAGTATATTAGGTTTTGTTTTGATGCATAAGAAACATAGGAGCCAGATGTAATGGTGCACACTTTTAATCCCAGCACTCAAGAAACAGAGGCGGGCGGATCTCTGTGAGGTCTAAGCCAGCCTGGTCTAGTTAGACTCTGTCTTGAATAAGCAACAACAACAAAAACGAAACATGGGGAAAATGTAGTTTTAAAATAGAAAATATGAATATGAATGCTAGTCTTTCAGCTAACTATTCCCTTGTAGATTTCCATTAGTTTAAAAAATATCTGATGTTTACTGATCAAAATACATATGGTTGACAATAAATCAATAAAACTATTTACAGTTAGTGTGTTTTGATTAAAAGTCACTGAATTTTTATAGCCTCGCCTCCCCAACTATTTTTCTTTTTCAAGGCTTTATCTCTAATCTGACCATTCAGAGGCAATACTTCCCTAATGATGAAGATCAGGTTGGAGCGGCTAAAGCTCTGATTCGTCTACAAGACACCTACAATCTGGACACAGACACCATCTCAAAGGGCAATCTTCCAGGTAAGAGAATTCTTCCCATCCATCAATGGTTGTCGCCCAGCTGCTCTCTTTAGCCCACTAGGAAAATGTGAGTACTTTTATATCTAAATATTTGTTTGTGACAGGGTCTCCTGCAGTTCAGGCTGGTCTCAAACTCAAGCTCATAGCAGTCCTCCTGTTTCAGCTTCCCGAGTGCTGGGATTACAAGCATATACTGCTGTACCTGACTTTCTATCTTACAGGTTTTAAATGTAGTTTGTTTGTTTTATAGAGACAGGGTCTCTCTGTCTAGTCCTGGGTGGCTTGGAACTCAGAGATCTGCCTTTTTTTTTTTTTTTTTTTTTTTTTGCCTCCTGAGTGCTAAGATTAAAGGCTTGTACCACCAACATCTGGTCTTCTTTCCTTCCTTCCTTCTTTCCTTCCTTCCTTCCTTCCTTCCTTCCCCCCCCCTCTTCTTTTTTTAATGAAAGTTATTTGTTGTTGGTTTTTGCAAGACTATGAGAGTCTATGGGGTCATGCACATGCCATGGCACATGTTTAGAGGTCAGAAAACAGTCTGGGAGTTGGTTCTCTCCTCCTTCCATGGGATCTGGTGATCTAACTGATGGACCATCTCAGTAGCCCTACTTTGTATCCTTTGAGAACAAAAGAAAACTCTCCTTTTCTCTAGGAGTTAATGGCAGGGGACAATGCAATTAGCTTGATACTATGAAAGCAACAACCTAAGGAAGGAATTTCAGTATGTAAGAAAAGTCATTTTTCCAGTTTTTCTTTTAGAATGTCTGATAGTACTTAAATACTTTGTAGATAAAATTATAAGCTGATTTATCATCAGAATTTTTATGTTCATTAACTAAAAGCTAAGATGTTCTGAATATGAACAGATATTAAAATGTTCTGTAGTATGAAGGTGAAGAGATGGTTCAGTGATTAAGAGCATTGGCAGTTCTTCCAGTGCACTTGGGTTAAGTTTCTAGTGTATGCAGACAGCTTATCTGTAATTCCAGTTCTAGGGGATCTAATGGCTTTTTCTGGCTTACATGGGCACTATGCACATATGTGGTACATAAACATACATGCAGGCAAAATATGCATACACGATAATTTTTTAATTAAAAAAGGTTCTGTAGTATGAAGCAATTTGCTATAGTATATGACTATTTTGGTCAAAAAATGGTGTAAAAAATTTGAGTTACGTCTGATTTTATTATAATTTGCTTCTGTCACTTTGTCTGTGAGTTGGTGGCTCACTGTCTTCTTTCACTATCACTGTGGTCAGACTGAAGTTGGTTTTCTCAGTAACAAAGCAAGACAGAGAGATGGTTATTGATGAAAATGCGTTCTTTTTCTCTTTTTTATAGGTTTTTATTTTTGTTTGTTCAAGACAGGGTTTCTCTTTGTCTAGTCATGGCTGTCCTGGAACTTGATCTGTAGACCTGGCTGGCTTTGAACTCACAGAGGCCTCGGCCTCCTTAGTACTGAGATTAAAGGTGTATGCCACCACCACCTGGCTGAAGATGCTTTTCTTGTACATATCCTTTCATTTGGGATGAGTTGTGGGATAGTAAAATTACTATTTTATATTAAGTAATATTTTTAAAAATAAACGAATATTTAGGTGAGTGTGTAGGCACAGTTTTCCAGTCCTGCTGCCGCTCTCAAATAACACACGAGGCTTAAATTAATTAGAATTTCAGCCAATAGCTCAGGCTTGTTACTAGCTAACTCTTACATATTAAATTAAACCATATTTCTCTGCCACATGGTGGTACCTTTTCTCAGTGTGGTAAGCTCATCTCTTGCTTCCTTGTCTGTGCTAGTGACTCCAGCTTTCTTTTTTCCTTCATTCTCAGTTTGGCTCTCCCACCTAACTTTATCCTGTTCTGCTGTACACTGGAATTGGTTTCATAAAACACTGATTGGCCAGGCAGCAAGTATAGGTGGGGCAACCAAACTAAGGATGATGGGAAGGAGAAGGGTGGAGTAAGGAAACACTGGCCAGATACCAAGAGAGCAAGATGGGCATGCTGTACTGAGAAAAGGTACTGTACTGCCACAAGGCAGAGCATAAATAAGGAATATGGGTTAACTTAAAATGTAAGAGCTAGCTAATAAAAAGCCTGAGCTATTGTTTGAGCATTTATAAGTAATATTAAGCATCTGTGTGTTAATTTGGGAAGTGGCTGCCAGGTATTAGGGACTGAGCAACTTCAAGACAGGAAAGTTTTGCCTATACTATTCAGCTATTGGATAGTCAGCTGCTTTTTTTTTTATGGCTAATTTTTTTTTATTTAGAAACAATCTTATTTTCCATATCAATCCCCTCATTCCCTCTCCCTCCCATCTTCCCATGCACCCCACCGAACCCCCCAACCTACCCCCATCCACTCACCAAGGATAGTGAGGTCTTCCATGGGGGGGGGGGGAATCATCAAAGTCTGTCACAGCATTTGGAGGAGGGACTAGGCTTGTATGTGGGCTGAAATAGTATCCCTCCATAGGGAATGGGCTCCCAAAGTCCATTTGTGCACTAGGGATAAATATTGGTTCCACTGTTGGAGGTCCCATTGACTGTCCAGGCCTCCTAACTGGCACCGACAGTTGGTTTGGTCCAATGCTAGTTCCTCAGCTTTACGACTGGGGTTGGTATGCTCTCACTAGGTTAGGTCAGCTGTTTCTCCCAGCACGGTCTTGACTCCTTTGCTCCCTCCTCCCTCTCTACAACTGGATTCCAGGAGTATGGCTTAATGCTTAGCTGTGGGTGCCTGCTTCTGCTTCCATCAGCTACTGGAAGAAGGCTCTAGGATGGCAATTAAAGTAGTCATCAATCTCATTTATAAGGGAAGGGCATCAAATGTGGCCTCTCCACTACTTCGTAGAGTCTTAGTTGGGGTCATCTTTGTGGACATTTCCCTGGTGCCAGATTTCTCTTTATACCTATACTGGCTCCCTCTATTAAGGTATCTCTTTTCTTGCTCTCCTCTATTCCTCCCCTGACTCAGTCTTCCTGATCCCTCTGTTCTCCTCCCCCTCCTCCTCTCCCCTTCTCTTTTTCCTACTTCCCTCCCCCCTCTCCTCTGTGCTCCCAATATGCTCAGGAGTTCTTATTCCTTTTCCCTTCTGTGGGGGACCATGTGTTTCTCTCTTAGGGTCCTCCTTGTTTCCTAGTTTCTCTGGTGGTGTGGATTGTAGGCTACTAGTTCTTTGCTCTATGTCTAATATCCATATATGAGTGAGTACATACCATGCTTGTCTTTCTGTGACTGGGTTACCTCACTCAGGATGGTTTCTTCCAGTTCTATCCATTTGCCTGAGAATTTCAAAATTTCATTATTATTTTTTTTCCCACTGAGTAATATTCCATTGTCTAAATATACCACATTTTCTCCATCCATTCTTCAGTTGAGGAGCACCTAGGTTGCTTTCAGGTTCTGGCTATTACAAACAGTGCAGCTATGAACATAGTTGAACAGATGTCGTTGTTGTTCAATTGCTGGATCATGAGGTAGAATTGCTGGATCTTGAGGTAGACTGATTGCCATTTTCCTGAGAAACAGCTATACTGATTTCCAAAGTGGCCACACAAGTTTCACTCCCACCAGCAATGGAGGAGTGTTCCCCTTTCTCCACATCGTCTCCACCATTGGTGTTTCTGATTTTAGCCATTCTGGCCAGTGTAAGGTGGTATCTCAGAGTTGTTTTGATTTGAATTTCCCTGATGGCTAAGGATGTTGAGCATTTTCTTAAGTGTCTTTCAGCCATTTTAGATTCTTCTATTGAGAATTCTCTATTTAGTTCTGTACCACACTTTTTAATTGGGTTGTTTTGTGTTTTGGTGACTAGTTTCTTGAGTTCTTTGTATATTTTTGAAATCAGCCCTCTGTCAGATGTGGGTTTAGTGAAGATCTTTTCCTAATCTGTCGGCTGCCATTTTGTCTTGTTGACAGCTTCTTTATTAAACCAATCACAGCAACAAATCTTCACAGTATACAAAAGGATTATTCCACAATCGAGTGTTCAGATTTTTGTTTTCTATTTCTATTAACACTACATTACAACATTTGATAATATAATAGCATTTAAAAGTTGGCTTCTGGTTTACAATCCCACATTCAACAGACATTAATTATGTCATATGTGTAGTTACTAAGATCAGTACAAAAATTATATAATAAGCAAGGTAGTACCTTTGTCATTTAAGGCACTTATGTTCTCAAGATAATGGTACAATGAATGCCTGGAAGGGAGAGTGTGGTGATGTTTTGTTTATGCTCTAACAAATAAAGCTTGCCTGAAGATCAGAGTACAAAGCTAGCCACACTAGTTAACCATAGAGGCCAGTGGGCATGGTCAGCAGTACCTCTAAACAGGATTTCTCCCTACAGTCTAAGGCAGTTAGTCTTAAGCAGTCTGAGGACAGGATCATCCCTTTGGTCTGAGCACTGGTAGAGATACGAACTCTCTACTGATCGCTTCTCTGATCTTCAGCACTAACCCCTATATCTGATTCTGGGTTTTTGTTAATACCAATTAGAATTCAAGCTATAGGAGAGCTTTAGTAGAAGGGTACAGGGGGGATGCTAATTCCAGGCTTCACAGAAGTGAAAATGACTTCTTGGAAGACATATTAAAATAATTGAAATCTAATGAAAAATGCTTTAACCGGGAGAATGGAGAGGAGGTGGACAGGTGTAGGCAAGGGGAAAGTGTTCTAGACAGAACATGTCTGAAGGCCAGAAGGGAGAGAGAGTATCATATTCAGATAAGTACATATGCTTTTCTTTGTTTGATTGATTGATTCAGTTTTAGTTCTTTTTGAGACAGGGTTTCTCTGTGTAGACCCGACTGTCCTAGAACTTGCTGGATGTAGACCAGGTTGGCCTCAACTCAGAGATCTGTCTGCCTCTGCTCCCGAGTGCTGGAATTAATGGTGTGCTCCAAATACTGGCTAACAAATACTTTGTGAGGCTTAACACACAGTTCCAGTGGAACGTGCATGAGTTAGGAATGCAATTTGGTTTGTGAGAGTAGTGAGACTTGAGGCTAAAGAGGTAAGCAGACATCATCCCTTAGAGGGCTTGGTAGTTTTTTTGTTTTGTTTTTGAGACAGGGTTTCTCTGTGGCTTTGGAGGCTGTCCTGGAACTCACTCTTATAGACCACGCTGGTCTCGAACTCACAGAGATCCACCTGTCTCTGCCTCCTGGGTGCTGAGATTAAAGGCATTTGCCTTCACCACCCAGCCAGAGGACTTGTATCATTTCTCCCATTTTCTTGCCTATTTTCTCTTGTTTCCTTCATGCCCACCATGGAATATTCTCATTTCCAGGTGCTGTGTTGATTTTTTTTCACTTCCTTTTTTCAAAAACCCAATTCCAGAAATATCCTGTATAATTGTGAATAGATAATAGCTAAAACAATCATAATCACTTTACCAAAGCAGAATAGCTAAAGATCTTCTCCCCTTTATTATCGTGCTTATTCATACAACACTGCCAGAGTATTGTGTCATTTCAGAATATTACTGTGATGTCTGCATGTGTTGATGGATACACTCTCCCCCTAATGTGCTTTCCATGGCCCCAAAACACTTAGTCTTGCTGAACCATGTGCTCACTTTAGATATGTACCAGCAGCACAGTCTCCCTTTTTTGTTTTATAGATAGCACCTGTCTTAGATTTAATCCCATATCAAATAAACAATATTTGGGAATTTGGGCGTCGTTCATTCCAAACTGCTTCCTGCTGGTTGGGGGTGATGTCCATACCATGGGGATCATGATAAAACATAGAAATCTGGTTGGGTCCTTGTTTTTGTAGTCTGCAAGGCTGCATCGTCTCAGCTGTTTTAGATGTAGGATCAGTTGAGCCACTGCTTCAGGGGGTCTTGCTTGATCAAACCATATTAGTTTGGAAGGAACTCACAGCTTTTCATTTTCTGTGAAAACACAAGCAAGAAATCTTTCTCCAAGTAGCCTCTTCCTAGACTTAAATTTTGAAGTCAAAGCATGTTTTTAAAATGTATAAAAGTTGGACTAACTTAGCAGCATTGATAATCAAATGTATTGTAGCAGCTGTAGCTGTTTCCTTGGCAATCAAACAATTTAAAGACAACAATAGAGCATATAGTATCCAGACTCTCTGTGTATTTTCCATCTTTACGTGGCTTTTTCATTACTCTATTTCTTTTACTTTTATGTTTTCCTTTTATGAGACAGGATTTCTCTGTGTAACTTTGGCTGGCCTTGAATTCACTCTGTAGACCAGGCTGGCCTTGAAGTCACAGAGATCTGCTTGCCTCTGTCTCCTGAGTGCTGGGATTAAAGGCGTGTGCCACCACACCCAGCTACTCTATTTCTTCCTGTTTCTTTTTCTTGCTGTTTCAATAACTGAGTGAGTTGGTCCTGCAAAATAACGGGGAACTTGAAATCCACATTCTGACAGTCATTTACTGATGGTAGCACTAATTACTTGAGATTCGGCACTGTCAACCCCAATGCGCTCCTCCTTGGTCTTGTGGCCACAATCGTTTGGAGCGGTCCGTCAGGATGCCTCTGCTTTCCTGGATCTCGGTGGAACCTCCAATTGCCACTGGCGCCAGCACCAGCGACCAAAGAACCGAACAAGGCGAGAGTCTGCAGATTAAGAAGGATACAACTCGGGTCATTCGGTAGAAGTGAATGTCATCTGTTTATTGCAGCCAGCAGTTTATATACAAGAGATGGGAAAACATCACCTGCTAGCAGAACACACTCCCACGCCCTATCATAAACATGGAAACCACAACCCTCACCCACGGCCAGTGAAGCAAGAAGGGGATGGGGGCAAGGCATAATGTTTCAATAACAAGAAAGGATCATAACAGGATGTTAGTGGGTGAGGTTTAGAAAAACAGGAGGTACCTGTGGTTATGCTGGAAAACAACTCACAGAGACCCGTGGGGGCTGGGTCCCAACAAAAAGGGTCAAAATTTAATATGCCTGTTTTGTTTCTGGAATTTTACCACATTCAACTATTAAGTTAGGATATTTATATCTGCTATGGTTGAATGTGTCCTCTGCCAATTCCAGCTATTAAAACTTCATTGCCATGAATTTGAGGCCAGCTTGGGTACCAGTACAAGTACCAGATAATACAAGATTATTTCTTTTATCAGTTTGTTGGTTAGTTTTGTTGATTTGACCAAAGTAGAATGCCCTGGGAGGAGATGGGCCTCTGAGCTTACCTGTGGGGAATTGTTGCTATTATTAAATTGAAATAGGAAGACCTGCCCATAATAGGTGGGTTCATTCCCTCACTAGCATATTGTATAAATTTGACAGGAATTTTCTTTGTCATTTTATTTTTTTATTGAAAATGGATTTTTTGTTGTGAGGTTTGTTTGTTTTTGATTTTTTGAGACAGGGTTTCTCTGTGTAGCTTTGGAGCCTGTCTTGGAACTAGACAGATATGATTCCTCCTGTGTTACGTAATAGCATACTTTAACTTGATTGATGTTTCATTTTGGTAACTTCATCTGCTTCATATATACTTGATAAATGAAAACCTCTGCCCACACAGTATCTTGTATACAGATGTTGATAATAATGTAATATGAATAATGAAAACCCAGAGACAGATATTGGGGTTAAAGTTGAAGACTGGAGAAGCAAAGCAGCCAAGCCACCAGAGAGCTCTTACCTCTACCAGTCCTATCGTCAATGTGGCTGGAGACTAATTGCCAGAATCCGAGATCATGCTCCTTTTTATATTCCTCTCTAGAGCTGGGATTAAAGCCATGGGCTCCGAAGTGCTGAGATCATCTCTGTGAGCCTGTGTGAGATTTGTCTCTTGTCTTCTGAGTCCTGGGATTAAAAATATGTGCCATGATTGCCAACCTCTGTGGTTGACTAGTGTGGCTGGCTTTGCATTCTGATCTTCAGTGGCTTTATTAGATCATAAATAGTATATCACCACATAATAATGTATTAATAATAATCATCATGTAACATATGCTACATAATTTTATCTAAATCTTGGGTTCTTTTGCATTTTTTTACATTTATTTATTTTGTGTGTGCTATGGGGTGCCATGGAATGCATGTGGAAGTCAGAGGAAAATTGTGGAGTCGGTTCTGTGTTTCCACTGTGAGTTTTAGGGATAAACTCAGGTCTTCATGCTTGGAGACCAGTGGCCTTACCTGCTAAGCCATCTCATTGGCCTTAGGCTCTTTAGGCATATCCCCTGTACAAGCTGTGTAATTCTTATTATGCTGCATTATTCTGTTTGTTTATAGAGTCAGGACAATTTTTGCTTTGAATTTGTTTGTTTAGGGACAGGGTCTCTGTGTGTAGATCTTACAGTATATAGACGAGGCTGGCCTTAAATTCACAGACAATTCACTGCCTGACTTTACTTCCTGAGTGCTGGGACTAAAAGTGTGTGCTAACCACCCAGCCGTTTTTGCTTTTCTTACCACCAGATTACTAAGAACAAATCAAAGTGAAGTAGCACTTGGAAAGTTTATGTAACCCTAAGTAAATATAGTACAATATGGAGATTGTCAATGCCCTGTGTTCTCTTTTCCTAGGAGTGAAACACAAGTCTTTTCTAACAGCCGAAGACTGCTTTGAGTTGGGCAAAGTGGCCTACACAGAAGCAGATTATTACCACACGGAACTGTGGATGGAACAAGCACTAATGCAGCTGGAGGAAGGCGAGGTTTCTACCATAGACAAAGTCTCTGTCCTAGATTATTTGAGCTACGCCGTGTACCAGCAGGGAGACCTGGATAAGGCGCTTTCACTCACAAAGAAGCTTCTTGAACTAGGTATGTTATCTGCCTAATTTACATTATTTACATGGGGGATTATTTTACCTGCATATCTTTTTACTTGCCTCTCCAATCACACAAGTCTAGTACTCACTCTACCAGACATTGTTTGTCTTCTCACTACTTATTCTCAAGTAAATGGTAACTGAGGTTTTCACCTAATGGTGTCACAGCAGTTGCTGTTTTCCTCTGCCATTTTTTTCCTCTGGGAATTTAAAAACTGCAACATCCAGGCAACAGTGGTGCACTCCTTGAATCTGCAGAACTTGGGAGACAGAGGCAGGGGAATCTCTATGAGTGCAAGGCTAGTCTGGTCTACATAGTGAGACCCTATCTCAAAAACAAAACAAAACAAAAAACAAAGAGTTGACGGAGTTGAAGACAGATAGTTATGGTTATGATTTTCCTTAGTTATGATAAAAGGTAAGTTACATATAAAACTTTAGACTCACAAAGATAGGATGATGAATATTTTCTTTAAATTTTGCAAAATATTAGTGGACTAAATATTGTTATCTATAGTTCTTGCTTGATAACTGTTATGTTATATATAATTTTACTATGTTAAAGTTAAAACCTTCCTTTTTATTTAGACACAAAAGAGGAAATGATGGGGGATTCCTTCTCTGTGCTGTGAATATATGTTTCTCCTATTGGTTGATGAATAAAGCTGTTTCAGCCAATGAACAGGCAGGATTTAGCCAGGCAGGAAATACAAACAGGGATAGAGAAAGGTAGTAGGCAGAGTCCGGAAGACACCATGTAGTTGCTGAGGAAGCAAGAGGTCTGGGCATCACTGGTAAGCCAAGACCACGTGGGGATACACAGATGAATAGAAATGGGTTAATAATTAAGAGAGAGCTAGCCAATAAGAAACCTGAGCCATCATCCAAACAGTTTATAATTTATATAAGCTTCTGTGTTTATTTAGGACTAAACAGCTGTGGGACTAGGCGGCACAGAAATTTGTATCTTCAGAGAGTAAATAAAGAAATAGGATTAAACCTAAATGAAGAACTCAGTTGAAAATGTTTACTTATCATGTGACCATAGTAATTGCTAATCACTTTCCTTTGAAGAACATTATTCTTTATTGCATTTCATATTCAAATGTTAGAAAAATGATGTGAGAATTTTTTAAAAATGATTCTATGTATCAGTATTTACTTACCCCCATGTATATAGGTGTATCGTGTGTGTAGTGATCACAAAGGCCAGAAGAGGGTGTGGGTGCTGGGAACCGAACCCGGGCCCTTTTCAGGTGCAGCATCGCTCTTAATCACTGAGCTACTTCTCTAGCTGCCCAAATTCCTTGATTTCTACCCAAGATCTACTGTGCTACAATTGTTGGAAACAGAGTCTCAGAATGTATCAAGTAATAAGTTCAGACAGCCTTTGATATGTTAGTTTATGATTAAGATGATAGATGTTCGAAGAGTGAGATTGCTCAAAAAAATTGGTCATCTGAAGTGAACTTTATAATTGGTTTATTTCTTACACAAATCAATCAAGATAGTAGTTCAGATAACATTTGTTTGTCTTTTGGTATGTTTCTCTCCTGATTTAAATTATACTTTGTATTCCATGTAGAAAATTAATACAGAAAAATAATCAACTTTTTTCCATTGTAGTATATAGTCCCTCTCTATACACATTTACTTTTCTCTCTTATTGTATATCATAATGTACATTGTGGTCTATTTCAGAAGAACTAAAAATATTTTACTAACTGATTAATCCCACAAGTGATGCCTCTATTTCTGTTCTTTTTATTTCTGTCTCTGTGGTGGTTTGGATTGGTTTTTCCTTACTAGAAAGTAGCTAAAAATTATCACTAGCAATTTCTGGGGCAGTTAGTGAATTTTGGTGAGTTTCAAAATTATATCTCTTCAGTTTCTTTTTTCCTTACTTAGAAATTTGGAGCTGCAGTGTACTAGCCCTCAGATGTAAATTGGTCTGCTTCTGTCTGTGGTGAATATTAGTTATGAAGTGGGTCTACTTTGTCTTTACCTAGTGATTACTTTATAGCCACAAAATTATCTTTCTTATTACTTAAAAAATATAGAGGAAGAAGATCTTTTTTCTCCCCCTGAGACAGGGTTTCTCCATGTAGCCCTGGCTGTCCTAGAACTCGAGATCCTTCTGCCTCTGTCTCCTAAATGTTAGGATTAAAGGTGTGTGCCACCATGCCCAGCTGAGTAAGACTCTAAAGTATCATTTGACATCAAATTGGACATTGTTCTGAGGCTGATCAATAAAGTTCTCAAAGTAGAAGCAGTGATTGCTGCCTAAAGATACAAAACTGCTTCTGTCACCAGAGCTGTTTCTGTACAGGGTGGCTTTATGCCCTGACTGACGTGGGCAGTACTAGTTTACATCGTGTTTTGGCACTAATAACTTACATTAGTGCCTCCTTTCTCAAAAGCATCTCAATTAGGAAGGTAAACTTTAGGTCCCTGTGTTTATGTTACTGATTTCTGATGATTAAACAACTGTCAACCTGACAGTGTACACTTTTTTCTCTCTAATAGATCCTGAACATCAGAGAGCTAATGGTAACTTAAGATATTTTGAGTATATAATGACTAAAGAAAAAGATACCAATAAATCTGCTTCAGATGACCCATCTGATCAGAAAACTACACCAAAGAAAAAAGGGATTGCTGTGGATTACCTGCCAGAGAGACGGAAGTACGAAATGCTGTGCCGTGGGGAGGGTATCAAAATGGTAAAGTGGAAAAAGTCAATTGTGTGTATGTGTGTGTGTGACTATGTATGTGTATGTACATAGAATAAGTATTTCCAAGTGTAAACTCTTGAAAAAAATTTGTAAATTGTCTTTCTCTCCTAGTAAACTAAAGTTAGGCTTTCTATTTTGACACTGAAGAGTGTCGACAAGCTAATCGCTAACCACAGATGTGGACATTGCATTATTGTGGACAAGTTCACGACTTCCTAGCAACAAGTTTTTGTTTTTACTTTGGGAGCCAATGAGCAATGCAAGAATAGGAAGACTGTTAGATTCCTGCATCCTTTTGCTCATTTAATTTCTAAAGCTAGTGTGTGTGTTAGGCACCTTTGTATCACTGATGAAATGCCTGAGGCTGACAGCTTTGAAAGGAGGAAAGATTCATTTAGGCTCATGGGTTCAGAGATTTTCATCCATATTCCATGCCACTCCCTGCATCCATTGGGCCCATGGCAAGGCAGGACATCTTGGAGAGAGAGTATGTGGTGAAGCAGAACCGCTTACCTCATGGCAGCTCAGAAGCAGAGAGCAACAAGGATGGGATTCCCAACATCACCTACTGGGCACATCCCAGTGACTTTCCATTAGGCCCCATTTCCTAAAAGATCTACCACCTGCCAACCACATCACAGGCTAGTAGTGACCAAGCTGAGAATTTAGAAGCAATCTCGAGTCAAACTCTAATAATATGTATGTTTTAAAGATAAGAACTCAATCTCACTAGAGGCCATTATCATACCTTTACAGATTTATAGAAGTTACATAATAATATCAAATGTCTAGTTAGTTTTCTGATTTCTATGGTAAGCTTTTTGTTTTGAAAACAGAATTTCCTACACCACAGACTATTTATTGGCTTGTAACTCTGTGTGTTATTCATTTGGTCCTTCTGCATATATGGCCACCCCTAGTTAGTACATTGCTAAGGATTCAACTCAGGCTTTGTTCATGCTAGTCAAGCACTCTGCCAACTGAACTACATGACCAGTCCTTTCCCTTAATAACTTTTAAGCCAGCAAAGTGGAATTATGAATCTATATAGGATCCTGCTAATTTATATTTGTTAGTATGCCCCATGAATGTCAGCTCTGCTCATAGTCAGAGAAGCATCCCTTTTTCAAATTGTTAAATTCATGATTATAAAAGAGTTATTTGATACAAAGCCTTGGATTTGACTCTTGAAGTACATGGAGAAAACCACAATTCTTATTTGTTACCTAACAGTTAAATGTCATATGTGACATATATGTTTAAGGTAAGAACAAAAAGCTTATCATGGTGGCACATGAGTATAAAACCATTCAAATATCTAAGAGGCTGAGGTAAATGGTTTTCATTTTGAAACCAGCCTGGGCTATGAGGAACCTTGCCTTTAAAAGTGAAACAATAGCTTATTTCATTCTTGTATGTGCACAGATAGTTGAAGGAAATATTTATTTGCTTTGTTGTCTGTTCTGTTCTCATTTTTTTTTTTTTCCGAGACAGGGTTTCTCTGTGTAGCTTTGGAGCCTATCCTGGCACTAACTCTGTAGACCAGGCTGGCCTCGAATTCACAGAGATCTGCCTGCCTGCCTCCTGAGTGCTGGGATTAAAGGTGTGCGCCACCAACGCCCGGCTTATTTTTTCTTTTTTATAACTACTCATTTTCACTTTTGCTTTTAAAAATACACTGTTACTGGGGCTAAAGAGATAGTTATTGATTATGAGTGCTTGCTGCTCTTCCAGTACCCATATCAGTTGGCTCAGAGCTCCCTGTAACTCCAGGAGAGTTGAAGAAGAGTGCGGGCACTGCACTCACAATGTGCACATACACACATGGTAAAGATGAACGCACAGTGTTGTCATAACTGCTGTTTTTACCATAAGCTTTTAACTGTGAAGTAATTAGAAAAAGTTCATTTAGTTTAGGATTTTTTTGGGAGAGGAGTTCCCCTCCTTTTTGAAACTGCATTTTTCTGGGTACCTCCTGGTTATTTTGGACTTTGGAGCAATGCTGGACATACGTTTTGTTTCTTTGAAATAAGCATATAGATGTTATTTGATATTTACAATACCTAAATTTTATTTCATAAGAGAATGGTGGAAACAAGAAACATTCTTTTTTCTTATTTGAGGCCTCCCTCTTCCCCAGAAAATAATCTTTTATTTTTTTTCAGTCCTGGGGATTAAACCCAGTGCCTTTCATTTGCCAGGTAACCACTCTGTCACCAAGCTGCACCCCTAGACACTAAGAATCACTAATAAAATTTTAAAGATCCTAAATGTTTGGTTTGATACAAAACGTTTGCAGGATACTGCTGTTTGTGTGCTGTTCCAGAGATCATCTGTGTATGTGTGTGCAAGCATAATTGTTTCTAACCCATATAGGAATAGACAGGTATTCTTCTAATATATTCATTATTTTTTTATATTTAGACTCCTCGGAGACAAAAGAAGCTGTTCTGCCGATACCACGATGGAAACCGGAATCCTAAATTTATTTTGGCACCAGCCAAACAGGAGGATGAGTGGGACAAGCCTCGTATTATTCGTTTCCATGACATTATTTCTGATGCAGAAATTGAGATTGTCAAAGACTTAGCAAAACCAAGGGTAACTTATTTTCTTCTCAGTTTACTGAAAGTTTGTGTTAATCTTTTCTTTGCAAGTTGATAGGAAAGATAACTAAGGTGGCTATAAATTCAGATTGTTTTAAGTATGATTGCCCCAACATAATGGTGTTAAGTTATAGTTTATGCTAGTTGTCTCATTTTGTTATCAACACAACAAGTAACACAAGCTATACCTGGGTTTTAAACAGTAAGTAATAAAAACCACAGATTTGTGTTCATAATTTGCTTTTTGCTATCTTACTGGAAGACCTTCCTACATATTTTATAGCCTTCAGTACCACTCAAAGCTAAACTTTTTCATACATAGTGTATTTTTATAGGTGTCTTGCTAATTTTAAAATAGTACTATAGTTTCCTAATTTTAGTTGATGTATATGTTTTTTACTTTTATGTATATGGGTGTTTTGTTTGCATGTGTGTGCTGTACCTATGGAGGCTAAAGAGTATCAGATCCTTTGGAACTGGGATTACAAATGGTTGAGTTCTGTCATGTGGGTGAAGGGAATCGAACCTTAGTCCTCTGCAAGAGCAACAAAATGCTCTGAAGAACTGCTGAGCAATGTCTCCAGCCCCCTTAATCTATCTTAATAAGAAACATAGTGGAATGTGAGTTATGCCTAATTCTACACATTTAGAAACTTGTCTTTTGTGTGAGAATGTGGAGACTATCTCTCTGTCCTTGCCTTTCCCCATCTTGTTCTTTAAAACAGCACATCTATTAAAAATAAAATAGAAGCTTTTTTAGAGATTATTAAATAAATTCAGATTTTTTTTTCTTTTATAATGCATAGAGGTCAATGTATTTCTATAAAGTTCAAGGTAGTAAATGTTTTGGGCTTTGTCAGCTGTGTGGTCTCTGTCCCAGCTACTCAGGTCTGCCATCTGGTGTAAAAACAGCCAGAGCACATGAATAAATGCAGTGGTTATTGTACATCAACTTTTTAATTCTAAAAGTTGGTGGCAGCTGGTTTTGGCTAGAGGGTTTGCTGGCTGTGTATATTTGTACTCAGATAAATTTTTCTTGTTTTTTTAGATTTTCTAATTTTTAACATATTTTTATTGATTATTTGAGTATTTCACGTCACACACCCTGATCACACTTCCCAGTCCTCCCAGGTGCCCCCCACCCTTGTGACCTCCTCCCAAAAAAGAAGGAAAACCCAAGTCCAATTTGTGCTGTCCACATAAACTTGAAATTTTTAAAGTTTTATTATTTTTCCAAACCGACCCTTTTTGGTTTTATAAAAAAGAAAGACTACAAAGGTTGATGAGGTACTGTCCAGGAACATTCTCGAAAATCAGCTGCTAAGCAGAATGTCTCTATTTTTATTTTAATTAGAAAGATTATTTTACATGTCAATCCCAGGTCCCTCTCCCTCCCTTACTCCCCTGCCCCCCCCCCCAACAACTAACACCCTATCTATCCCATACCCTTTCTGCTCCCCAGGGAGGGTGAGGCCTTCCATAGGGTGTCTTCGGAGTCTGTCATATCCTTTGGGATAGGGCCTAGGCCTACCCCCGTGTGTCTAGGCTCAGGGAGTATCCTAAAGTCCATTTCCTATGCTAGTGATAAGTACCGATCCACTACAAGAGGCCCCATAGATTTCCGAGGTCTCCTCACTGACACCCACATTAAGGGTGTCTGGATCAGTCCCATGCTGGTTTCCCAGCTATCAGTCTGGGCACCAAGAGCTCTCCCTCGTTCAGGTCAGCTGTTTCTGTGGGTTTCACCAGCCTGGTCTGGACCCCTTAAGCAGAATCTCTCTTAAAATGACTCCATATTTTTTTCATTCTCGTTTGAATTCCTAATTAAGTCCTTTATTTGTAGTCAGACTCAGTTTACCAGTATTTCTTGGTAGGATATTTGTAAAGAATTCACTTTTGAGATGGAAGGCCTCGGTCTCCAAAGAAAATTCTTTAGTTGGGATTGTTTTTGATCAATAAATTCAGTGGCACTAGGTAATAGTCATTTCAGAATTACCCTCCTGTTTTAGAAAGTCTTGAAATGCTTGTTTTGGCTGTCATCTTTCCTTCTAACCCTATCTGCATTGCTTTTCTACCTCGCTGCAGAAAGGCTCTTTTGCTGTACTGAGTACATACTATGTCTTGAAAAGATAAATGCCCTTAAAACAAATTTTAGACAATATTATCCTTTGTAAACATGCCTCAATGGAGTTACAATCTTAGGTTTTAGAGTGGACAATTACAGATAGCCTTTTTGTTTGTTTTTTTCCAGACAGGGTTTCTCTATGTAGCCCTGGCTATCCTTGAACTAGCTCTGTAGACCAGGCTGGCCCTAAACTTACAGAGATCCCCCTGCCTCTGCCTCCCAAGTGCTGGGATAAAATTGTGTGCCACCATCTCCCTACACAAACAGCCATTCTTACAACTATAAATTGTACTTTACATTTTAGGAAATTTTCTTCTCATCACATTCTCTATCGAAGAAATTTAATTTCTAATCTTTTCTGTTTGTGTGTCCTGTATTCATGCAGTACAACAAGATCAGGTATTAAACACCAAGGAAATTGTCTGGTAAAATAATTTTTAAGAAACACCAAAAAACTAACTGGCTTTCAAGGCTCAACACAAGGTGATTGGAAGGGTATTGAGTTATTTTCTCTATTCACCCTCTTTTGTTTAAAAGAAAAAGAAACCAAGAGTTCTGACTGACTAGGTAAATGTGATTCATTTTTTGTCTTGTAATACAACTATTTTGATGGTTGGCTTCACAGCTGAGGCGAGCCACCATTTCAAACCCAATAACAGGAAACTTGGAGACGGTACATTACAGAATTAGCAAAAGGTAAGAGATTGTATGCTGCATATTTTTCCTCCTAAAGAGTGTTTTGAACATCCAACCAGAATTCTTATTCATTTACAGAAGTAGATCATTTCCAGTCTCCAGCTCAAGTGGCCGCCTTACACATGAGAAGAGTAACGCATGGATGCATGCTTTGTGTTTCACAGGCTTTCCCTTTAGTTACAAGTTCTGTTTTTATCTCTGTTTGGGCTCATGTTTCAGGAATTCAGTGCTTTGTATTTTTAAGATCTGGTGTTAAACACCCAGGAAATTGCCTGGTCTTTTTCTTTTTCCCTTTGTTATGAGAGTGGGAAATAAAGAAAAAGAAGTGGTGGGTAACCTGGGGTAGAGTGCTGCAGAGCCTCACACCCTTCTTTGTAGTGCTTGTCCATGTTTGTCTTTTCCTTTAATCTGTCACTGTCATCATGGAGTAATCTGTTCTTACTGGACTTTTTCATCTTAAAACAAGTCACCGGCCCAAAAGTTGGCTGTGGAAAGAGCAGTTCTGCTTCTGAGCTCAGTCTTCCAAATGACTTGTGATCTCTGTTGTCCTGGATGATGCAGAGACTGAAAAACAGTTTTGTCCTGATGAAAGTTTTAAAACTTTCATGATGAACTAATATGGAGTACTTTAAAAAGTGTATTTGAAGAACATTAAACTTGTAGCCCTGGGGAAAGTTCCTGTGAAACCCACTGCCGCATGTCATTTACATACAGTCTCAAATGACTTCAGTTTTAAAAAAGTGAAAGGACAATAAATACATTTACAGTCAAATTCTGCCAACCATTTTTCTCCTGACTTAGAAAGTGGCTGTTCTTCTGCCACCTTTCTGAATGTTTTGCTGATTCGAACCATTACCCGCCATGCAGACCAATCGGAATCCTTCCAATCACCTGTGGCTTGGCAAAAAACAAAACTAAGTGAACAAAGCCCAAATGGCCTGCTGGAGTGTAAGCCCTTGTCCTTTCTCTTTTTTCTTTTTGTAGCTGAGCCGAGCTACAGTACATGACCCTGAGACGGGGAAATTGACCACAGCACAGTACAGAGTATCTAAGAGGTAAGGGAGCAATGGAGAGAACTTGAGGCATAGTTGGAATGTTCTTTCTTGACAATCTAATTTTGACAAAGTATATGATACTGTTTTTAAGACATAGATGTCAGTGAAGGTTTTGATGTCTCTGCTTGATTTTTTTTCATGATGTACCAATAAGTAAATACAGGCAGTTACAGACATTTTCCAAATCATTGCTAAATATAAAATGTCTGGTGAGGCTCTGACAATGCTAACTGATACATGGGGTATCTTGTGTTGAGAGAACTTCCTAAAGACTCTGCAAAGAGCAAGGCCCAAGGCAAACTCTACTGTGAGTTTATCTTTGGGTCACCAGTAGCTGTAAAAGAAATGCCTAGAAGGTCAACAAGTTCGTTTCCAATTCCTTGCTCTTTACAACATCGAAGTAACTTTCAAGAGAGAACCATGGTGCAGCTTAGCTGTATAACTAAGGGCTGAGTGAGGTTAGTACAGCATTGACTCACCTATGTGATAAAGGCTTCCCAGATCAGAAAAAGAAAACAGGAATGTCATTGCACTGAATTCTGTTTGCTTCTAACCCTAAGTAAAATTTTTCCACAGATGCAACAATTACAGAAATAAATAAAAGCCCTACCCATCTCATTATAAACATTTAAATAGATTTAATAGTAATTGCGTAATCAGTTGCTTAGGATAATGTATGCTAATAATAGTTGAAATAACTCAATCTGAAACTACTACTTTTTAAACGTGTTTTAAAGGTGTTTTGAGTGTGTGTGTGTGTGTACACGTGTGTGCCACAGTGGACATGTAGAAGTCAGAGGTTCTCTGATCCAAGATTATTGATAAAGCAAAAACAAAGAGGCTAGCTAGGTGAGCAAATTCAACATTGTCGTACTCCTTTTATTTTCATTTATGTATTTGTTTGTTTTACAAAGTAAGATTCCCTCCATGTCTTAACCATGAGCATAAATGCACATACATGTTCTGGTTTTGTTTAACTCTGTACTATTCCTTGACTCTTATGCCAAAAAGAATATGGGAAAAAAGAGTGTTTTAGTGTGCTCATGGCTGAAACCTCTCTAACAAAAGATAGGTTACCAAGAAAAGTGGACAAATTTAATGACTTAAAACTTTAGAAATGAAGACCCAAAGAAAACAGAAAACTGTATTTTGATAACACAGATAGTTGAGTTATGGTGATGTGATCTAACAGTAATAAACCGGAGGACATTAGCTGGGTCTGCTTCTTCAAACACTTGGCATTTCTGTGTCCCGGTCTCACGGTGATCAGAATTCTGTGGCCTGCTTGCGGCATTTGAGAGTAGGTCCTGAAACTTACCAGAGACATGGATGAATTAAACTTTGCCGTAGCCCACTTTAGATCTACTCATAATCAGAGCAGTTATCCTTAAGGAACATGAACAGATAGTGAGGATTTGCAGGAACTAATTTGGGTGACTTTGTTCTAAGACATGATTTACGGTGATTCTGTGAACTGTAATCAATCTCAGTTTCAGGCTAAACCTTTACTGATTTCCCATTCTGTTACTGAATCTATACAAATGACCTTCTCTGGTCAAGTGTGGCTGTGCATGCTTGTAACTCCAGCACTCAGGAGGCTGAGGTCAGGAAATCTGGTGGTTTAAGGTCAGCCTGGTGTACAGAGGGGGGCGCTGTCTCAAAACATCCCTCTCCATGTATCAGAGACTTGTGGATCTGACATTTTTACAGTCATAAGCTAGTATCTTAAGTTCTCCTGATTTGGATGATTCAAGGAAACATTTAAAACAAAACTTCAAAGTAAAAAATGGGAAATAATGTGGTTCTATTATAATCTTTAAAAAAAACTTTCATGAATGAAGTGTTTTGGATTACATTTTGAGAGCTTTCTATATATAAAATAGATGTGATGAGATGAAGGAATCCCCAGCCAAGTACATCATTGGACTCTTAACCAGTTTCACACAACTTCTGTTAAAAGTGAACCATCCACAATGTTTTCTTAAAGCTAACTACTCCCAAACATTTCAGACTTGCTTTTTAAGTATTCTAGTTTTATAACCCTGAGAAGTAGCTTTATTGGGTTATTTGAGAGAGGCATAGTCATACTTGATGTTATACATCCTAAGTGGCAACAGAAGACTTACAACAATTGATGCCTGAGAATAATTTTGACCAGTCTTGGCAAAGTATGGCATGTTTTAAACAAACTAGTGAAAAACTAGCTTTATATTCCAGTGACTTTAATATTTATTTTTAAAGAAATGTATCAAAATAAGAATATGCTTTGAGAGACAGACCTTAGTTATTAAAGAAGCTTCCCACTGGAAATATTGAGTATATTTTAACAAATAAGGTTTTTTACTATTAGAGGAAGAATTTCATAAATGGATGGATAGATAGGTGGATAGATACAGATACTTATTACCAGTGGAAATCAAGTTCTCTTTGTGGTATGGAGGATTGAGCCTGTGGCATTGTGTGCCTGGCAAGTGCTCGACCCTGCCTGCTGTGTCCCCAGACTTTTACTTTCTATTTAGAGACAGGGTCTTACTAAAATTATTGATGCAAAGTTTGCCTTGAACATATGATCTTCCTGGCTCGGCGTCCCTAATACTTGGGATTACACTAGTACAGGTCTGAACCACTAGACATAGTTGTCAAAACCTGAATTTTGAAGTTTATATTACATTTTCAACTTAAAAGAAAACCAGTATTTGTTTCCCTTATAAATTATATGAAAAAGGTTTCATAGAAGAAAATATGTGTTCCGATGTCAGTTAATATAATAATCCCTTTTACTCTAGAAACATCTGCATTTTGTAACATTCCAAAAAAGAATTATAAGTGACTATATCATTTTGTGTAGAAGGAAAGGTTCCAGCATTTCAGCAAATGGGATTTTCTTTGGCAGAGCACACATGGAGGAAGTTTGCTACTGTTGAAAAAAGTTGAGGCTGGCCATGGTGGGCACATGTGGTCTCAGCTACCTGGGAGGCTAAGGATGCAAGAATTCAAAGTTAGCCTAAGTTTTTATTTATAGCACTAACTATATGTACCATTGATCTGGTAAATCATGCCTGTCTTTTTCTATATGAAAACCAAATCCCATCCCCCAACAAAAACAAAACAAAACTTACCTCTTATTGCTGGTTGGATAAGTAGCTAGATGAGGGGAATAGAATTTAAGTTTTTGAAAGATTCAGTTATGTTCTGTGTAAAGACAGTTAAGTTGGGTGAATTCTGAAGTCAGCTTGGTGTAACAAAAATCCTGATTATAAAAGCAAATAATCTGCTAAATTAGGAGAAAGGATCTTTGCTTTTAGTGGATTATTCCTGGAAATAATTTTCAATTTTTCACTCCAAAGTAATGATTTCTGATAACTGGCATTTATAATGTCATAAACATAATATGACATTTATACCTAAAATTAGTTTGCTTGTGTTGCTTATAAGAATCAAAAGTATTTTTATAATACTAAGGCAAATATGCAGAATTTTGGGGTTTTGTTTGATATGTTGTTGAGACAGGGTCTTTCTATGTAATCCTGGCTATTCTAGAACTTGCTGTGTAAACCAGACTAGCCCCCAAACTCACAGAGATCCTCCTTGTTCCGTCTCCAGAGTGCTGGGCCTAAAGGTGTGCACCACCACCCCACCCCGGCCCCCTGCCAGAATGGCATAATTTTGAATGATTTCAAATTGTTTTAAACTGTCCAAATGTTTAACACTGCCCTTTAATGGGTTAAACAGTGATTTCCAAAGGAAGAGAATCAAACTGGACAGATGTATAGTATTATTGCTTAACTATCCCACCAAGACTATAGAATTCTCAGTCTAGCTAGTTAGTTTTTGCTAACCACCAAGCACTTGAAGAATTATTAGAAATTAGAAATGCTGCTCTAGGGAACTAGTACTTTAAGCCCAGAATTACCATTTGCTTAACAAATGAACAGTATATTGACTTTATGTTAGCTAATTATAACATGTTAGTTTTCACATCTGTTATGGTAGGAGTTGTGACAGTGTTAACATCTTCCTGTGGAGGTCTGTAACTGTCTCCAAAATGACCTCAATTTAGCCTGCCTACCTTCTGCAAGTGTGAGAATGCTGCTTCCTCCTCAGCCAACTTCCCTGTGATGCTCTTAAGATTTGTATGCTAAAAGTCAGTCAGGATTATTTCAAATAAAGGAATCTTGCTTTTAAAAAATGTAGGAACACTATTTGAAAGTACAAGCCCCATCATGAATCTAAAAGGAAGATATTTGGCTATTTAATTTTTAATGTAGAATACTCTTTTTTTTTTTTTTTGCTTTGGTTTTTCGAGACAGGGTTTCTCTGTGTAGTGTAGCTTTGGAGCCTATCCTGGCACTCGCTCTGGGGACCAGGCTGGCCTTGTACTCACAGAGATCCACCTGCCTCTGTCTCCTGAGTACTAGGATTAAAGGTGTAATGCACTACTACCCAGCATTTTTTACTTTTTAATTTTTTAGGCAGGGTTTTCTTCTGTAGTTCAGGGTGGCTTCAAACTCAGACTACTATCTCAACTTCCCAAATCCTGGGATTGAAGCATCTAATTCAGCCACATCTGTCAAATTCACCTTTCCTAAAGTATGTATTTCAGTTGTTTTAAAAGTTTTAGTTGTGCAATTGTCATTTAATTCTAGATATTTTTATATAGTAACATTCACTAACCACTGATTTCGTTTTTCATGTGTATGTCCATGTGCGTGTGTATGTGTAGGCACATATGTATGATTCATGTGGAGACCAGAGGTTGATGTCAGGAGTCTCTCATTTTCTGTAATTTTTTTTAAACTGAAGATATATTGCTGAACTTGGGTCTGCCAATTTGGTTAGTCTACCCCTTTAATGGCACAATAATTCTTGTTTTTAGATGCACCACATTTGTAGTGAGTCTGTTCATAAACTAATGAACATTAAGCTTGTTACTTTTGGCTGTTAATAACGTTGCTATGAACATTTCTGAATTTTATGACTAATGTTTCTTGAGTATCTAAATAGAAGTAAAACTGCTGGTAATGTAACTGTGTCTTACATTTAGAGGAATTGCTAAACTGTTTTCTGCAATGACTGTACCATTTTTTTCCTGCCAGCTATGTACATATAAAACTTACTTAAGCAAATATTGCATGAATTTGTTTGCAATAACACAGTATCATCGTAGAGGAGCCCTCAAACCCTTTGACCTACTCTACTCATCTAGACAAAATAACTGTTTCCAGCTTAATGTGTATTTTTCTGAAATGTGCAGAAATTTCTAGCATAAATAGTGATGTGCTTCTGCTGTTCCAGCTGCTCTAGAGACTGGGAGAGTAGAATTTCTCAAACCCAGAAGTTGGAGATGAGGCAGTAAAATGAGGCCTAGTCTCAAGAGAGAGAGAAAAGGGGGGGTAGGGTGGAAGGAAGACTCTTGATACAGTTAGTAGCTTTAATAGTTTCCCTATATTAATGCAACATTTCATAGAAATGCAAGATGCTTATGTCCTCTAACTGCAGAATGTGTCACCATTAAGAAACTGTATTAGTAAAAATCTCATCAGACTATGAGCAGATCAAGCAGATAAGCTGCAAATTTATTACCCTGGCTGGGTGTGGTAGTGTACACTAGTTATCCTAGTACTTGGAGACTGAGTCAACGGAAGCTGGAGATAAAGACCAGCCTGAACTACACAGTGAAACTGGAGAAAACCAAGGGCTGAGAAGGAAGCTTAATGGTAGGACATTGGCTTAGCATGCACAGTGTCCTGGATAAATTTGAACTCTAACACTGTATTTAAAGAAGTTTAATGTCCTCTATGTGGTTTTGAAGACAGCAGGTATTGAGCTTTTATCTAATGAAACAGTAGCCATAAACTAATATTTTCTTGACCTAGTGCTTGGCTGTCTGGCTATGAAGACCCTGTGGTGTCAAGAATTAATATGAGAATACAAGACCTCACAGGACTGGATGTTTCCACAGCAGAGGAATTACAGGTAAGCAACCGCAGTATCTAAAGTTATTCCCACTTCTCCAAGAGGCTCTTCCTTTTAGATTTCCTGGCATGGAACAGGCAGTGCTTGACTTGTGTAATACTTGTGAGGACTGTAAGTGACCCTCTAAGCCAAAGCATTCAAAGAATTCAAAGCATTCAAAGTAATCTGCTGCAGAAATTGAAAAGACAAGATACATATTATAAAACTTAATATTAAGCATACTGTTAACTTTTAAATTTTCAAAATTATATTTTTATCATATTTATACTCATGCATATGCTGTGGGTCCTTGGGATTGGACTCAAGTTATTAGGCTTGGTGGCAGGTGCCTTTACCTACTGAGCCATCCCACTAGTTCTTAATTTTTCTTTTTAATTTCTAGGCCCAGTCTACTTGTTGAATGGCTAGGGTAAATTTTGGATTTTTAAAATTGATGTATAATTTGTATGTCGAATGTTTTACCTTGGTTTAGATAGATTTACTTGGTTGTGACCTCATCTCCATGATTTAATTTCAGATGTTTTCATCACCCTAGCGAGAAACTGTCCATACCCTGAGCAGTAACTTCCTAGCCCCCTTCCCAAGCCACTAGCTACTGGGTGCTTCTATGAATAGACTTATTCTGGCTATTTTATATATAGCAGTTACTTATGTGGCTTTTATGACAGATTTCTTTGACTGAGCATTATGTTGCTCAGGTTTATTTATGTTGAAGTATGTATCCCTACTTTATTTCTTTTTACAGCATGATCCCTTTTATGGAGTCACCTTTTATCTGTCTGCTCATCAGTTGGTGGATATCTCAGTTACTTCTGCTTTTTTGCTACTGTGATTAATTCTGCATACAAGTTTTTGTACGACCAAACATGGGAAGTTCCCATGTGTGTTTTGTGAGTGTATGTACAAATGAGAGTGGACTCATGTGGTAGCCCTGCACTTAACATCTGAAAAGCTTTCAAGCTGTTTTCCAAAGTGGGTGTGGTAGCAACCCATGAAGGTTCAAAGCCCTTCGCCTCCCTAACACTTCCCTTTCCCAGCGTTAGTGCAGCATGCACAGTGAGTTTAAACTGCTGTTTCCTGGGTTCACTTATTCCTGATGAATAATGATGAATAATTCCAGATGAATAGCATCTGTTCAGACTTATTGATCATTTCTATTCTGTTAATTTGTGTTCTTTATATATTCTAGATACTTGTCCCTTATCAGATAAATGACTTGTAGATATTAAATTCTGTTCTGTAACCTGTCTTTACTTTTTTTTTAAAGATTTTATTTATTACATATACAACATTCTGCTTCCATGTATATCTGCACACCAGAAGAGGGCACCAGATCTCATAATGGATGGTTGTGAGCCGCTACCATGTGGTTGCTGGGAATTGGAACTCAGGACCTCTGGAAGAGCAGTCGGTGCTCTTAACCTCTGAGCCATCTCTCCAGCCCCGTCTTTACTTTTTAGTGGTGTCCATTAACACAAGTTTTAATTCATGTGTGGTTCATGTATTTGCACACCGATGAGGAAGTCAGAAGGTGTTGGGTGTCCTGCTCTCTCACTCTTGGCCTTACTCCCTTGAGACAGGGTCTCACTGAAGCTGGAGAGCTCACTGACTAGGTTAAGTTGGCTAGCCAGTGAGCCCCAGTGATCCTCCTGTCCCTGCTGCAAACCCCTATTTCCCAGTGCTGGGCTTACATTGTACCCAGCTGTGCCCTGCTTTTACAAACATGGGTGTTGGAACCTGTGACATGGACTTAGACCAGATGCCTCCTTTGTTGGGGTGTCATGGTGACCATCTGAAGTACTAGGAAGGACTCTACTGCAGGAATACACAGTGGTGTGGCCTTCTTCCCTTTAAATAAAATGATAAAAGTTATGTAAAAAACTTATTTGGGCTGGAGAGAAGGCTGAGTGATTAAGAGCACTTGTTGCTCTTCCAGAGGATCCAGGGTTCAGTTCCCAGCATCCACATGGCGGCTCACAATCTCCTGTAACTCTTTCCAGAGGACCTGATGCCACCTTCTTGCCTCCACAGGTTCCAGCACATGTGATGCAAATATCATGAAGGCGCACACACATACACACTCTCTCTCTACCTTACTATGTAAGAGGTCAAAATTAGGCCTCCTAAGAATTTTTTGTATGGTAATCTTGTTTCCCGACCCCCTTCTTTTTGATACTATGGGTTGGACTCAGAACCTCAGCCATGCTCTGCAAACTCTGGGCCCTTGAGTGATAATATTAATAGTTCTTATTCATATTTTATTTCTTTCCTTCAGGTAGCAAACTATGGAGTTGGAGGACAGTATGAACCCCATTTTGACTTTGCACGGGTATGTGAAATTGTAACAAAATCCACTTAAGTTTAGGTGTTCTGTGTTTAAAGACACATCTTCATGATGCTTAAGATAGGCAGACTATTGGTGAGTGGGGAGGGTGCAACTGTAATGAGGATTTCAGTGAGAGACAAAACTAAACTCCAGGTTATGGAGCAGTGGGCAATATGTAGACGATAACTGAGCAGTAATTTGACTGACTCACTGAAGTAGGGACAGGAGCCTGATGAGAGATGAGATACTGAGGGTAGGGAGGTGAGCATGAAAAACTCAGTCATCGGGGCCCAGATGAAGAGAGAGCTCAGAGGAACTTGGTTAAATGGGGTCAGGAAGTACCTTTGTTGATTCTGTCTTCACATAAAAACCCAGTTGCCTCCTTGAAAGTTGTGCCAGAAGATCCTGGAAAGTTGCTGCAGAAAACAAAACCACTCAAAAAAACAAACAAAAAAAGGCATTGAAGACGTTTAGTTCAAAGCATTGGTGAGCCCGGAAGAATCAAAAGGTTCTTCATTCCCCACAGACACACAGAACTGTGTGTCTGGAGACTGACAGTGGGGATGAGGCGTGAAGGCAGCAGCACTGCTGTCAGCTAGAGCTCTGGGTTACAGCTCAGAGAGAGGGTGGCCATAAACCTGTGGTCAGATTCCATCGTCAGTGCAGAAAAGAGTAGCTTGAAATACCTGCTTTGGGAGGGGAGCTGTTCTCTGGGAGTTTTATGAAAGCATATATCTGGCCTCATGAAAAGGATTAAAGTCACTCGGTTTGGTGATGTTCCACAGTGTGGCAGAAGCAAACTGTATTCTCCCTGCCACAAAAAAAAAAAAAAAAAAAAAAAAAAAAAAAAACAGGTGGATAAGGTGCAGCTGAAGCAGCAGGCAGACACACACTGAATCGGATCACTGTATATCATATGTGAGGTCCTTAAAAGATAAGCAAAGGCAAATTCTAAATAGGAAAAAAATACACTAACTTTTAAAAAAAGATGAGAGATTAGTGAACTGAATTGGGCAGTAAGTGTGAAACAGAACACATTTGACAAAGAGAAACAAACTGGAGTCCAGGAGCTGAGCAAACATGAGACTGTTAAAGTGTGCCATCACATCTTCATTTAATCAGGTCTGACTATAATCGCTGACACTTCCAACACTATGCTGTGTGATTCCACAGACTCCTCTACATCACTCTCCAGGGTAGAAACAGTCCTGTCTGGAGTAGCTCTTTACTGGTTTATCTCAAGTCCCATGAGCTTTTTCTGTGGAATTCTGCAAAAACACTTTTGTCTCCTTTTGTCTTATTCCCAATACTGAAACATGTCAGGGCTTTTGGTGGTGTCAGGTTAAAACCCCACATTACAAAACTAAACGTATTATTTTGAGATAATCATTGTTTCCTAGGATGTAGCAAATAAGTGTACAGGACACTTACATGTACCTTCCTCACCCCAAGGTTGATGTCTTATATGACTGTAGCACAGCTCCAAACCAGAAGCGCACCATCGGTGTGTTCACACAGCACGCACTATTGCTTTACCAATTCTGCTTATTTCTGCAGATGGCTCTGCACTCTGATACATGTGACTTATGTAATTCCTGTCATGTTCGAGGCTATCATTGTGTTACAGCCTCCCTGCAATACTGTTCTGTTCTTACACTCACCTTCCCTTCCCCCATCTTTAATTTCTGTAACACCATTACATAGAAAAACATACTATTGATTCATTCTGAAAACAGAGCTAGAGTTTGTTTTCTCCAATAATTTTGCCAAAAGTATCCAACATGTAGGCTGTGTTGAGCACTTAAGGCTAGTGTGGACACAGCACACTGGCAGTATTGGGGTATATTCTTTTAACTTACTACTATTGTGCCCTGGGGTTATTCACATTACTGAGTTTTATATCATTAACTGCTTTATCCACAGAAAGACGAGCCAGATGCTTTCCAAGAGCTTGGGACAGGAAATAGAATTGCTACATGGCTGTTCTATGTAAGTTACAGTTAAATTTTTGCTTTAACATTTGATTGCATGACTCATTGATTTTGGTATGTTATGTGAAGTTGATTTGACTCCTATTGACTACATAGTGTGTTCAAAACCAGCCTGGGTCTCAAAAATAGAAAAAGGGCTGGGAGTATGGCTCCATGATTTGTCTAACAAGCAGGAAGACCTGGATTTGATGTAAGCCAGGCATGAGGGAACATACCTGCAGTCCCAGTATTTGGAAGGCAAAAGGATCAGGTCATCTTGGGTATATAATGAGTTTGAGGCCAACACTGACTATGAAACCTTGTATCAAAGGGGAAGGGGTGTTGTTTAAAAATTTCCCAGTGGTGGTGGTGGTCCTGCCTTTAATCCCAGCACTCAGGAGGCAAAGCAGGCAGATCTCTGAGTTCGAGGCCAGCCTGGTCTACAGTGTGAGTTCCAGGACAGTCAGACTATTACACAGAGAACCCCCCATCTCAAAACACAAAACCCAACAACAAGAAATTACTGATAGTCCTAGTGCTTGGAGATGTTCAGTATTTTAGAATATGGGCTATTTCCATATATACATTATCTACAAATGCACACAGTATAAATGTGTGTAACTTTACAGTTTTTCATAAACTGAACATGTCTGGTAATCAGCACCCAGACTAGGACATAACATAACATGGTTAAAGTTTCAAAACAGCAAAATTACATTTGTTAGAATTGTGTGTGTGTGCCAAGGATTAGACTCAGGTCCTAAAATATAAGCAAACACTCTGCCTCTGAGCTACATGCCCAACCCCAAAATTAACATTTGTTTCACTTTGTCAAGCTTTTCTGTTACAGGACAAATCACTCCCAAATAATTTTTCCTTGGGGGGAGGTGTCAAACTCATGGTCTCATGCATGTTCTAAATGGATTTAAATAATAGTTACTATTTCCTTCTAGAGTAGAGATGTTAATTGGGTTTATAACACCAAGGTATCTATTCAGATCTCTCAATATAGTTGTAGTCATTTGTCCAGCACTTGGATCTTCTGGAAGACTTAGGTAGATGGGTCTCTGTTGGCTACCATACTTAATAGTTCTAGTCATCCATGTGGCCTGCGCATCCTCACGCTTTGAGAGCAGTCAGCCTCCCAAAGAAATTTTTTTCATGGACATGACATTTTTATAGCCTGTCTTTAGAAGTCATATAGTATCCTTTCTCTGTTTTTAAATCTCACCTGTTAGGGAAGCATTCCACCTCTGAGCTATAGCCTCAGTTCTGCACAGCATCGAGGTGAGGGAACATTGGCTTGCACCACGTAAAATGAATTCCAAGTCATATAAAAAGAGCAGGTAGTGACTGAAGCTGTAACTCATAATCCTGGGTTGAATTTTGAACATGACGGACACAAAGTGAAAACAAACAACCCACCCATGTAGTTAGGATTATGTAGTTGGGATGTTATTACATTTGGTTATACAATTTTATAGTAGTGTAACTCTCATTTTTAAAATATGTGGTTTAGCGGGGCATGGTAGCACAGTGTTTTTAAGTCACTTATTTTAGAGGTGGCATTATGATACACAGTACATAGTTGGGCTTTGTTTGCTATTGTGTGCTTGTACATATATATAAAAATCTTCACACTACCATGGATTTCCTGGGTGTGTGTGCTGTTTCAGTTAATTAAGGTTTGTGTTTTTAGTCTAGGTTACCTTTATGATAACTTTTATCATTCTTTAATCTTCTGATTTTTCATTTAAATTTTATCTAAGGATAAATTTTGCTCTTGTAGATGAGTGATGTGTCTGCTGGAGGAGCTACTGTTTTTCCTGAAGTAGGAGCCAGTGTTTGGCCCAAAAAGGTAAGCTTAGTTTGTTTGTGGGGCTTGGTTTTGTTGGGTCTTTTTCTCCTGAAGTAAGTTGTACCTGCAGTTTGTGGCCCAGGGAGTGAGTTACATTTTCTTTTATTTATTTTTATTTTATTAGTCTTTTGTCTGTATGTATGTGTTAGATCCTGGAGTTACAGACAGTGGTGAGCTGCCATGTGGGTGCTGGGAATTGAACCTGGGTCCTATGGACCACCTCTCCAGCCCCGAGTTACGTTTGTTAGTAAAGTTTCTTTATTCAAGAAAATACCAGGGCAAAACGCAGTCCAGAGAGAGGTTACAGGAACCCAGCAAGCGTGGCCAGAAAGAGAGATAGGGTCCCCACTTGTAGCCCTTAAGAAGCTCCCTTGCGTCACCCCGGCTTTCCTTCACCACGCCCTTATGGGCGAGTCCCGGGTCCACCTGGTACCTGTCCCAGGACTATTGGGCGGGGCTAGGGTGTCTCCCTACATACGTTTTCAGACTACATTCATCTCCAAGTAAAGCACGGTTTAAGGAACAAGGGTGATAGTTGAGTTCTAATTTCCAAGATTTGATTTTCATATAATTCTATCTGAATTGCTGGACTATTCTCTAAAACACTCTTTTGTCAACCACCTTTATGGTATTAACTCCCATCTGATCAAGAAAACATTTCAAAGCGATAGACTCGCAGAATTAGAGAACACTAACAGGAAAATGTAAGTGCTGTGAAAAGTGAAAACCCAGCATTTTACTTGGTGATAATTTTGAATTGTTCTCCACAGGGCACTGCTGTCTTCTGGTATAATCTGTTTGCCAGTGGAGAAGGAGATTACAGTACACGGCATGCAGCCTGTCCCGTGCTAGTTGGAAACAAATGGGGTAAATGGTTCCTGTATTCTCTGACAAAGGAACTCTTTATTTCACTTTGAAACTATAACCTGTGCCTTAAAACTAAAATGCCTCCTCCTGTGACTTGCCATATGGCTTCACATTATAAGGGATTCAGCTAAGCCTGTCCCTGATCTGAATGCAAATTTGCATCCATGGATGAGCATTTTCGTGAGATTGTTTTTGAGGGTAGGTGCTCCATTTCACCTGATTTTCCAAGAAGCATTACATTAGTTGACTTCCAGGTTGAGAAGTTAGGATCTTCCCCTGGAAAGGTCACAGTCTGAGACCTTGTACTCATGGGTAAGTCAGAATGTGGCACAGTCAGAATGTGGCACAGTGCAGACTGATAACCAAGATGCAAGAGGAGAGCATGTTATCTCCCTGAACTGGTGGGGCTTTCCTAAGCCGTACTCTGATTTTTGTTTCCTCAGCACACAGCAGTTTCTATTATTCTATAATACCAGAAATGTGATAGAAAATAAATTTGGGGGAGAGGACCCATAAGATATATATTATATTATGGATGTAGTGGTACATGTGTTTAATCCCAGCACTCAGGATGCAGGTTCAGGTAGATTGAGTTCAAGCCTGGTCTACAGAGTGAATTCCAGGACAGTCAGAGCTACACAGAAAAACCCGTCTCAAAAACAAGACATTTTGGAACCAAGACAACTGTATGAGTATGTGATGGCAACCACTGATGAGAGAATGTGTTCACTTTACTGTCTTTGGGGTTTGGAGGTAGTACTTGGAAGCAGCAGACTTGTTCTGTTCGATCCATGCTGTTCCATTTGTAGCTCATTTTAAGCCACATTAGGTGTATATACACGAAATCTGATGCTTATCCTATATCTGCCTTTATCTTAAGGTTTTAATGCATGTTGAAGCTGTTACAGACTAGCTTTTAGATGAGAGAAGATTCTTACTGTTTTTTTGTTTTTCTTTTCACAGTATCCAACAAATGGCTGCATGAACGTGGACAAGAATTTCGAAGGCCATGCACCCTGTCAGAATTGGAATGACAGACAAGCTCCCCTCCTCGCTCCTGTTGTTCTCTAATCCGCCTGGCACAATTGCTGATTATAACTTTCAGAAGTTTACAGCTGACTAACACTCCATTATTAATTTGGTCATGAACTTCATCCTGTGTTTTGACTGTGGACAATCACTTATTTTGTGGGGTTTTTTTGTTTTTTAATTAACGATCACATTATGTAAAATTTTGCAGTTCAGTTATCACAGGATACAGGACATTTAAAATGAAGAATCCTAATTTTGTTGTTTAAAAGACTTTTTTTAATCTAACCAAAAAGAAGAGACGACAACGACCAATTGTAGATTTTGCCACCTCTCAGTAGATGGTGGGCCAAGCGAGGCTGTGCATGGTGCAGACGCCTAGCCTCCTGCTCTCCCTTTGTGGGATTGCTGAGACAGTAATATACTAGGACTCTAGTCTGGGCCCAAGGGGTTTGCCTCCATCTATTATTCCACGTTCATAATTCTTATTATTTAAAGAAACTATTTTTACCAAATTTCCCTCCTCACCACTGGTGAATTCAACTGGTTTGAGAAAACTACTTTGTTCAAAAAAGTCCTGCATAGCAGAACTGCCCCTCACAGCTGAGATGCTCAGACTTAGACGTTTTCTTCAATGACTGATCATGTCCAGAGACTTGTTGTTCCAAGTGCCAGTACCCTGTGCCTACCACAGCAGGTGGTGGTGTTGGCATTCTGAGTAAACACTGTGCCTTAGGAGACTGGGAGTTAAAATGTACAGGTCCTTGTAATGATGAGTGAGGGAGTTGATTTTTAAAAAGAAATCTCTTTTATAAAAAGCCAAAATGTTTTTTTTTTCTTTTTAATTCTGAAACGTGTTATAACAGTGACCTATTTATGATCTTAAATCTTTTTTAAAAAATGTTTCTGTGTGGTATTTTCATGTTTAAATTCAAATATAAAACAACAGTGCTCACAGGTTAATATACATTACTCCTTTACTACATAGAGCTTAGGGTTAGTATTTGTGGTTAGACATTTAGTCAATCAAAATACGTTTCCTTGGGGTCTAGCTTGCCTGGCCCACTCCAGACTATGAGACACTAACAGAAAGTCCGCTTTCTTCAGAGACAGTCTTGCTGTGATTATGAGTCTTAGCAATAATTATACTCACGCTTTCTCTTATTCAAAAGCCTGTTTGTGGTCTTGATATCTTTGAGGGAATTCTTCATTCACACAAGGCTCTGACTCTTCTTAATTTTCAGGGAAATTAAATGTAGGTATTAAAATGAACTATTCCATCACAAAGATTTTAGCAAAGAAGTAAGTTCGGCACTGATTTTGCAGTCAAAGATACTTTAAAACAGACAAACAGGCTGGGCATGGTGGCCCACATCTTTGGTCCCAGCACTTGGAAGGCAGAGGCAAAAGGATCTCTGAGTTCAAAGACAGCCTGGTCTACATAGTAAGTTCTAGGTCAGCCAGGGCTACATAGAGAGATCTTGTTTCAAAAACAGACAAGCAGAACAACTTATAGGCTGGTGGTGCAGCTCAGACATGGAGCAACATGTGTGAGCACTTGGGTTCCGTTCCACTACTAAAGCCCCACCCACCCCCACACCAATTAACATGAGCAACAAATTCTACAGGGGAAATGGGGATTTCAAGGCCAGAAAATGGTTTTGTCACAATGTGCTGGCAACTAGATTAGAAATTAGGAAGAAAACTATATAAATTTAAAAGGAAAATATATGTCTTATATTAAGAACTTAATATAAGATATATACCAGCCTGCGCCTGCCTCCTGAGATGCTCTGATGAGACCATCTGGCAGTTAGAGACAGGTACCTTGGGCATGAGTGCAGTCTGTAGTCCCAGGTGACTTTGTACAATGGCCGGTCCCCAACCAGAAACCACAGGCTTTATGAGTGAAAGGGAGGGGGGCAAGTTGTTGGAACCAGGAATGGCTATAAGCAGGTGAGGAGACACTCAACCTCACCAGTCTTTTAAGGAAGTTAACACAGGATTCCTATCAGGAAAATAATGTGTGTTGTCTAGGATGTGTGAAAACCGTTTTTATGTAAATGTTCTTCAAAACTTCCTGTCAGAAGTTAACATCCCAAAATTCTGTTTCTGGGTATGAAATGAAGGCTGAGAGTTGAAATGTTTACATCCAGCTCATAACAGGATTATTTGTAATCACTATAAAGTGAAAGCAACCTGAGTTCAGAACTAGGCGAGTGGGGAAAGGTGGCATAAATGTTAAGACAAATTCCAACACATGCTCTACATGGGTTAAACCACACAAATAACTCTTACCCACATAATAGATACCTAGAGTAATCAAACGCAAAGCGAGTACATGGTTGCCCAGGAGTTAGTATTTAATGGGTATGTTGAATAACAATATGATAACACTTTATGTGCTCTAAATATAGTCTTTGATTTTAGACTTATTTCATATGTATAAGTGTTTTGTCTGCATGTATGTGTGTGCACCACAAGTGAACTTGGTGCCCTTGGAGATTAGAAGGGGCCATCAGACTCCCTAGAACCAGTTATGGTTGGTTGGTAACCATCACGTAGGTGCTGGGATTGAACTCTGGTCCTCTGTAAGAGCAACAAGTGCTCTTAAACCTGTGAGCCATGCCATGTCTCCAGTGCTAAATACACACAAAAAGGAAAAAATGCCAGATGTGTAGCTCAGTGGTTGAGCATGCTCAGGTCCTGGGTTCAATCCTCAGTCCTCTCCAAAAAAGGAAAACAACCCAAAACATCAGTATCAGCCTTAAATGTTTGACAACTTAAATGATGGCATCCCAATTCTATAAGGCCTCCAAACTGAAAGCAAGGGCGCCTGCGCATCCACAATTCTGTTTATAGCATTAGTCACATTGGCCACAGGTGGAAGCAACCCCTTTGAGTAAACATCTGCAATTGAATGATGAGCAGAGGTAAAAATAGAAATGGCTTTAAAAATTCTTCTGGAATCAGAGAACTGACCAACTTTGAAAATTAGTAGAATTTCAAAACAAGACATAAGGGATTAGGAGAACTTTTAAAGAAAAAATTCGAGTAAGCCAGGCATGGTGCCACACACCTTTAGTTCCAACACTCATACTTTGAAACCAACCAGTCTACGTAGTGAGACAGCTGCTAGTAAATATTCAAGACAACTTCTAAATATTTAATGCTACATATGGTTTAGAAACAGATATTATATATCTGGGAATGGGCACAATAGCCGACATGAATACACTTGTATATTTACCAGATCTTAAAGAGAACAAAAACTGGTCATATAAGCGAACTTCATGACTTAAAAGGGAAAATCAGATCATAAGGCATTGGCGGCAATACCTGCATAGAAGGGAATATGGGCTGGGGTGATGACTCAAGACTGGAGTTTGGAGCCCCAGAACTCACATAAATGTCAGGTGGGCATGGCAGCCCTCTTCTAAGATGGAGATGGAATCCCCAGGACAATCCAGCAATCGGAACTGCTGAGTTCCAGGTCCTGGTCACAACATAAAGCCATCTGGGAACACACTTAATACCAGCTGACACAATTTCTGGCCTCCACATGCACATACCTAGGCATCTGCCCTGTCACATACATGTAAGTACATAAACAACACACAAAAGTTTCTATATCTACTCAGTACATAGACAAATCTGTCAACATACAGGAAATTAGACGTCTCAAGTCCATTTTTCAGGGAATCTACAAAAGACAGCTGTGACCTCTAAAATAGAAGTCATGGACAATGAATATGCTATCGAATCTATGGGATAGATCACAAAGGATTGTATCAGTGTTTGGTGATTGGGAGGATGACACATTTCTAGACAGGGTTTCTCTGTTTCTCTGTGTAGCCTTGGCTGTTCTGGAACTCTCTTTGTAGACCAGACTGATATGCCTCGGCCTCTCTAATGCTGGGATTAAAGGTGTAAGTCACCAAAAAATGTTTTTCATCATGCAGTTCAGGCCAACCTCACACTCATGATCACCCCTGGTCCCAGGGCTAATTGTAGGCCTGAACCATCATGCTGGGCTACTGTTGATGAGTTTTAAATCTATCTTTGGTGGTGTCCTAGGAGCCTATTAAAGAAGACACCCATAGTTAATGGAATAGCAATACCTTAGGACAATGTTGTTAGAAAAAGAAGTCATTTTCTATCCTCCAAAACTAGATAGAACATACAGAGGAGTTTTATTTTACAGTATAGACAAGTAAGAAAAGAGGTTGAAGTCACCGCCAATATGTGTATATGATTCTGTATGTATGAAATGTCCAGACTAAGCAAATCTATAGGGAGAAAAAACAGGGAGAGGGAAGGATTAGAGGCTCAATAGCTAAGGCATTGAGTGTTCTTTAGCTGGTAATGAAAACATTTCTACTTTGTGTGAACCAGGGGTAGTGGAGCTAGGAGGATCAGAAATCCAAGGTTGTCTTCTGCTACAAAATGAGTTCAAGGCTATCCTGAAACACAAGAAACCTTGTCTCAAAAACAAATGTTGGGTGAAAATGTTGTAAGTTCTGTTGACTGCAATCCTATGACTAAGCCATTGAGTTAAAACTAAACGGTTTAATAACTATATAAAACATACACTTCAAGTTAGTGAGTTGGGTGGTATGATATATATATATATATATATATATATATATTATATTCAATATATATTATATATATATATCAAAGTGTTTCTTAAAAGCTAGAAAAACATCAGAAATAAATATAAGCTAGGCCAACTATAGAGAAATTTAAAGAAGCCCAAATCTATATTGATACAAATGACAGACCTCCAGTTAAGCTAACACAAGCAAATGACCAATATCAGGCACGAATGGGACAAAACTACAGATCCTACAGACAGCTTAAAAGGGTATTGTTTATTATTTTATTAGCATCTTTATGACTAATCAGATTGTGAAGATAACAAATTACTAAAATCTCAAGAAAATGTTAAATATCCCTATTATTGAGTAAAGAAATTAAAGTCTTAATTTTTTTTTTAACTAAAAAGCAATACAGAGTTCTGGATGGCATCACCAAACTCTGCCACATAAGGAATATGGTACACAAATGGCTTTAGGAGATCTGTAATTCCCAACTCACTTCAAGAAAGAAACATTGGCTAGGCAGTGGTGGTGCATGCCTTTAAATCCAGCACTTGGGAGACAGAGGCAGGTGGATCTCTCTGAGTTTGATGCTAACTTGGTCTACAGATTGAGTTCCAGGACAACCAGTACTGTTATAAGAGAAACCTTGTCTTGAACTCTCCACCCACCAAGAAAGAAAGATTGTCCCTGATCTCTAACCAGACTAAGAAAACCTATGGATCAGTATCTCTCAAAACCTAGATACAGAATACTCCTAACATCTAACCAACAATAAGTGGAAAATTCGTGTGTAACCAAAAAACAAAGCATACTGAAATATGCTTAAAAATACTCAAATAAGTCCAACAATTAAATCACAAAGTTGGGGCCAGCAGTATGACTCTGGGGGTAAAGGCACTTGCTGCTAAGCCTACTACTGGAGTTCAGTCCCAGGAGTTCACAGGGTGGAAAAGAACTGACTTCCCCAGTTTGTACTCTGACTTCATACACATGCTATAGAACACGCACATGTCCTCTCGAACAGAGAGATGCATGTAATAAAAAGTGACAAAGTCATGTTCACTTAAAAACCTAAGATTAGTGTAAAGGTCCAAATTCCACCTGGGTAATCCATCATATTAGCATGTTAGAGGAGGAAAAGAAATGATTTCAAAAGATGCAGAAAGCACATATGACAAATTTCAGTATTGCTGATGAATTTTTAAGCGAGCCAAGTGTATAACGTGTGTCTGTGATCCTTGGCTCAGGTAGGAAGCTTGCCCTAAGTTCAAGGTCAGCCCGTGCTCTATAGTTTAAGTTTCAGACCAGCCAGATCCTGCCTCAAATAACACACAAATTTCCTGAGCAGATTAGTGGCTTTTCAGAAATTTCGCTCTGCCTGGCTTTGCAGTAAAAGACTGGATGCTGCTTGCAGTACTGCAAAGCATCTGCTTATCCCAGGGGCATTTAGCATTGTGCTAGAGGTGTCAGACAGTAAGGAAGAGGTACACTCTGCAAACAGCTCTCCCCATCAGGGCATGAGCATTTGTGAAACACCCCAGAGGAATCTACAGAACTCTC